GTATCACAAGAAAAAAAATCTAGAATTGCTAAATTCTTCATTTTATGTCAAAAGTTGAATGCCATTGTCCCTAATGGCATGACTAGAATGATGCAAAGAAGATTTGGGCCAAAGGGAACAACAAGTAGGGTTTTCCTGAGAGGTTCAAGGTATGTCACCTGGTCTTGAATCAAGAAAATTAAAAAAAAAAAAAAAACTCTAATCCCAAAATTAAGTGAAAAAAATTATGTTGGGTTGCCTCCCAACCAACGCTAAGTTTAACGTCTTCAGTCAGACACAACTATTCATCTCTCTCATCCAAACTCTCATACTCACTATCATTTTCATGCCAACCAGGACCAGATTGGGCTAACCAAGGGGTAGATAGGTCATCCACGAGATTGTCCACTATGTCCACACTGCCTTCATCTTCCCCTAGGTTTGGATACTTAGAGGCATTAAAAACATTCAATTGGACCTTCTGCTCCCCAAATGAGATGTCCATTTCCCCGATTTATATTTGATATTTTCATTAGCCATTGCTAAAAATGGCCATCCTAAGATTACCGGGTTGTGGTTCAGTTTTTCGGTTTGGGTCATGTCTATAACAACAAAATCTACAAGGAAATAACAGTTTTCTATCCTGTCAATGACATCCTCGACAACACCTCGAGGAGTCTTAACCGGCCGATCAGCGAGTTGCAAAATTACTAGGGTAGGTTTCAACTCGCCGACCCTGAACCTTTCATAAATAATGGATGGAAGCAGGTTCACACTAGCCCCTAGATCCAATAAGGCCCTATCAAAGGTGATTCTAGAAATTATATAGCTAATAAGAGGAGCACCCGGGTCTTTCATTTTTCGGGGAAGTTGGTTCAAGAGGACCGCACTCACATATGTTGAGAGCATCACTTTTTGTGGGGCTAATCATGGCTCCCTCTTTTGGGTGAATAGCTTTTTAAGAAACTTTGCATAAGCCCAGACATGTTGAATTGCACCGAGGAGCGGGATGTTAATGTATACTTGTTTGAAAAGTTCCATGATCTCCTCATTGTGAATCTCTTTCTTTTTCCGTGACAGCCCGGCTGTAAGTGCGGTAGGAAAAGGGACTACATATTGGTTCGCTTTAGGCTCTTTTTCTAAGTTCTCCCTTTCTTCTTCTCCCCCCCCCCCAACTTAGGGTTTTCTGACTCCTTTTTCTTCTTCTTTACTTTCTTTCTCATACGGGTTTTCCAAAATTCTCCCACTCCTTAAAGTTGTTATAGCTTTAGCATTTTCGAATTGGGGATTCTGAGAAGGTGGTTGAATTTGCTGAGAAAAACCCGCTGGCTGATTCCTAGGGTTTGCAACCGATTGACTCGGTAGTTGCCCCACTATCCTCCTTGCATTAGCTTCAGCTAGTTGTCCTATTTGGCTTTTCTAACCTAGCAATGGACTGTTGTTGATTTAGGATCAATTGCTGCAACTGCATAAATTGATCGTCTACTGATTGGGATTGAGGGTACACCTGCTGGAACTGGTTTTGTACTACTGACCTCTGAAACTGTTGGGCCAAGGAATTGGACGGATGCTGAGGGGACTGTACATTGGGTTGGTGTGTCCTCCAAGAAAAGTTAGGATAGTTTCTCTACCCATGGTTATAAGTATTAGAATATGGATCATTATTGGGCCTTGAGAAACTCTGGGCCGCTTGAACTTGTTCTTGGATAAAAGGTGGAAACTGGGTCGCAGTAGGACAGTCGTCAACCTGGTGGGCTGGGCTGGCACAAATGAAACATACTTCAGGATAAGTGGTAGATGGGCCTGATTGCTAGTTAAGAGTGAAAAACTAGTTGAGTTTCTGGGCTAGAAGGTTTACCCTATCAAACTTTCTAGAAATGGCATTCAAGTCCATTTTTGCCTCGGTCTCTATATTATTTTTGATCTCATAGAGCCTTGCCCTCTTTGAGGGTCCCACCAACCTTTCATAGGAATACAACGACACATTATTGATAGAATTCTCACTCAGGGATTCGAAAAGATTATAAGCTTCATCCTCGCTCTTGCTCATAAATGCCCCCCCCCCCCACGCGATGCATCTACCATCTGCATGTATTGATCTGTTAGGCCTTCATAGAAGGCCTGGACAATTTGCCACTGGGACAAGCCATGGTGTGGGCATTTTCTCATTAACTCTTTCATCCTGTCCCAAGCCTTATGAATTTGTTCACCCGGTGTTTGGGTGAATCCCGTGATAGCTCTCCTCATGGTATTGGTTCTACCTATAGGATAGAACTTCCTAAGGAATTATTGTTGCCTTTCTGCCCAAGTCCTAATAGGTCTCTCTATAGTCGCTAACCAATGCTTGGCCTTATCCTTCAAGGAAAAGGGGAAAAGAGTCAATCTAAGGGCATCATCATTGAAATTTTGAATCCTTATAGTTGAACATATTTCCAGGAAGGATGGGAGCATCTAGATTTTACTTGACTTAATTTCATACTATAAGGCCTGAGTATCAGGTAACTGAATGCAGGATGAAAGGTTGTATGGTGTTGGAGTGAAGTATTCCTTCTACTTTCAAGGTTGGGCATCATTGATTTCGGTGTTGATGATAGAGGTATCTCTCTATTTCAGGTATAGGTTCTACAGTTTCTCTCCTTAGAGATCTCCTTCCCAACATACAACACAGAAGTCCCTTTTCTTCTTATTTGAATTTAAAAGTTTGAGTTTAATTCTGAAATTTAAACTCAACTTTTGAGACTTTCTCTTTTTTTTTTTTGAAATTTAAATTCAAACTCAGCCTTTGAAATTTAAATTCCTAAAATCTAAATTCAAGTTAGAATTTTTTTTAATTTTTTTTTTAAAGGCAAGCAAATCAACCACATGACCTAAGGGCTGACCTAGGGTTTCCTAAACTAGTAGTCCAACCAATGTGAATCCTCTTAGGTTCACTTGGAATTACACCACTTCCTTTGGTTAGTCAGGTAAGAGGTGGGGATGTGGGAAGCGACCCTTGCTCTCACAAATACCTAATTAAGTAACCACAAAACCCGCTTAGGCTTAGCCATTTAACATCTTTCCTTAGACACCAACCGCCGATTATGGAAAATAATTTCAAGCTCTTCTAAAATTCAACACACCTTTGAACCAAATGTGAGGCTCCCCTAAAGGATCTTTCTATCCAAATTTTAAATTAGGGTTAGGTGAACCGCACATAAAAGGTAGTGATTTTTGGGCCAAGGAAGGGTGATGAAATCCCCACCTTATCTTATTTAGGTTGGATGTCCTTAAATGAATTAACAGAAAGACAAAATAAACACAACAAAATGCAACTAACTACAATGCATGAACAATTATTTCTAAGATGCAATTCAGCAATTAAACCTAAAAGAATAAAGCAAACAACTAAGCAAAAGGAACATTTAAAATAATAAAAAGAGCACCTAACACATTCACAATTAACAATAATATTTTCAGCAAAAAAAAAAACCTATATGATGCATGCTCTAGAATATCAAACCCTAAATATTGGAATGAAAATGCAACAAAAATATTCAATTTTTTTTATTTTCTTATTTTCTTTAACTCAAAATTTAAACTTTTGGGAGTTTAAATTCAAATTCAGAGTTTGAGATTTAAATTCCTAAAATTTAAATTTGATTCTTTTTTAATTTTTGACTTTTTTTCTTTTTTTCTTTTTAATTTTTTAAATTTAAATTTGAAATCTGAAATTCAAATTCAAAGTCGATTTAAAATTTAAATTTAAATTCAGATTTGAGATTTAACTCAAATTAGAAAATTTCAACAATTTCCTATTTAGCAATTAATTATTCAATCAAACAACTAAAAGAAAAGAAATTAAATAAAGCAACAAATAATAATTGCAAACAGAAAATAAAATAACAATTAATTGTGCTAAACAAAATTAACAACTACAAAAAATAAATCCTAACAAATTAATTGCTAACCTAAAATTTAAACTGAAAATAAAATGATCAAAAAGAAAATTAGGCAAGAAATAGATAAAATAAAAGAAAAAAATACGAATCTAAAAAATTTAAACCGAAAATAAAATAAACAAAAGAAAAAAAATATACTGAATTTTTTTATTTATATCTTTTTTCATTTTTTAATAAAAGAAAAACGCAAATCTAAAAACTAATATGAAAAGAAAATTATGCTGCAAAAATAAAATAAAATAAAATAAACAATTTTTTTTATTTTTATTTTTTATTTATTATTGTTTTTATCTGAAATAAAAGAAAAAAAAATGAATCTAAAATTTAAACCAAAAAGAAAAAAAAATAAAACAAACAAAAAAAAGATGCTGCAAGAAATAAAATAAAATAAAATAAATGAATTTTTTTTGTTTTTTTGTTTTTTTTTATTCTGAAATAAAAGAAAAACACAAACCTAATAAAGCAAAAAAAATTGAACAAGAAATTAAAATAAAGAAAGAAGAATAGGTCTAGAAACAAAAGGGAAGCAAAATAATACTAAAAAATAAATCAAATCTAAAAAAAAGAAATTAATTAAAAATTCAAAAACAACTATTCTATAAGAAAAAGAGTTTGAAAATAAAAATAAGAAAATTGAAAATAAAATGGAACGACTACACCTAAAACGCAATCCAATTTCTCTTCTCTTCCGTTCCGCAGTCCCGCAACGCTCCGATACCCCACCTTTCGCTATTCCGTCCTGCAAAATCAAAGAGAAGCAAGAATTAAACTGAGATAACGAATCAAGTAATAAAACAAAAAAGAAAAAATAATGAAACAGATCCAGCAAAAGTAAATAAAAATTTTTCTCCGTGCTTCCCCGGCAATGACGCCAAAACTTGGTGTGTCCAGAAGCGTGTCGTTAAACATTTCAGAACACCAGTTTAAACATTTATAATTTTATTCCGATTCTCAAACAACTACTAACGTAGTAAAGTGATGAAAACAGGTCGTATCCATAGAGAAGCAGGAGAAAATAATTACTTACTTGGATACAGGAGAAGAGAACACAAGTGGGAGTTGCAGAAATAAAAAATTAATTAATTAAAAAAATGGAATTCATTAAAACCACATTGGAATGGTACTAAGAATAACAACTACATAAGAATAAATAAATAACAAAGACAAATAAATAACAGGAACGAAATAAAAATGTCTAAGAATCCGATCAGAGGTAGCAGTCTCCAGATCTCTCCTTCGATCCTCGAAATTCTCGATATCAGCCTTCCGTCTTACCTGGCCGAATTTCAGATCTGTAGAAAAGAAATGAAACACCAATTAAATATAATAAAAATAAATTTGTAGGAATGAAAAAAAATTAATTTGGAAATAAAAAAAAAACATAAAGTAATTCTAAAACTGAAGAAAAAATGATTTGGGTTCAAATCCAGAGGTGGCAGTAGTGTTGTTGGCGAATTGCAAGTAGGAACCCCTCCTCTTGCCTGGGCATCCTCCTCTTCCTCTACCCTTGAACTTCTCAAGATCAGCCTTCCTTCTTACTTGGGTGAATTGACCAACCCCTTCTACAGGGCCCCTGGGACCCTTTTTATAGAGAATGATGGACAAAACTGGAAATAGAGAGAAAGATGGGGGGCGGCAGCTGGGATTTAGTAAAGTTAGGGATGCCCTAGGTTTCTATTGAATGGCTATGATGGTTTTGGGGTGATCCTATGGCTGAAAATGGAAGGAGAGGGCACCCAATATTATTTAGGGTTGAGATTTGGGTGCCCAGAAATGGAGGGTGTAGATTAGAACATCTAGGGTTGAAGGGTTAAGATTAAAAGAATATGTTTTGCCCTAGATTGAATGGTTGGGATATAGGATGGAGGGAGTGGCTAAGATTTAATGGTGATGAGCTGAATGGTGAAGATTAGCATAATAGGTGGCACCTTAGGGTTTAGAAGCTACAAAGGAGAGCCCTAAAATGGATGGTCGAGATTAGAAGGAGTGGATGATGGAGATTTCACATCTAGGGTGGCTAGTGTTAGTTAAGGAGGAAAAGATTAGGTTAAAAAGGCTCCCTAGGGTTTGCTAATGAGAAGGGAGCATGGTAATACAGTAGGATGGCACCAACTAGGTTTAGCAGATAGGAGGCGCCCTCCTGTTCTTAGTTCTTTACAAAAACACCCCCTCTCTCAACTGGACTTCACACTAGCTTCCCAAAAACTGCATTTCAGCCATGAAAACTTCCTAGTTTTCTACATAATTTGCCAGAGACCCTCATAGGTCACATAATTGATTTTAACTGGGAAAAGGGTGCACTTTAACTATTCTAAGGCCGAAAATACCCCTGAATTGATGCCCTTAAGGCATCAAAATGCAAGGTTATCAACAAGCCAGGGTCTTGGAAAGGAGAATTGAATGAGCCATCTAAGAGAAGGTGCTTCAAAGTTTAGATTTGGAAGCATCAACTTTTGAACTTCATCTTATTAACCAAAATGTCAAACCAAATAAAAACTCTAATATCCAAATAAATACAAATATATTCACAAGTGATGATGGATCAATTCATTTGACCCAGTACAAACAATAATAAATGAGAAATTGTTATTACATCAGAATTCACATGGATTAAAAATGGGGTAATAGCATATAAGGGCAACTTTTGGGGTTTAGTATCAATAAAAGTAGTACATTTAAAAAATTTTCAAAGATGGGTTAACTTTTTAAAAATAATATCAATAAAGGGAAAAAACACTACTCATCTTCTTCTTCTTTCCATTTGTGCATCAGAGCCGCCACCCACCATTGTTCGCCACCATCCGCCACCGCCTCCGCCTCCGGTAATGTTGCTGGAGGTGGTTGGAGGCAGAGATGGCGGCGGCGGYGCTGGTGGTCATTCCTCTGCCCGCTGCCACCACCACCTTTGTCTCCACCCATCTCCGACAATGTTGCCGGAGGTGGAGGCAGAGATGGGCGGAGGTGGCAACGTTGGACAGAGAAGCCACCAGCGCCGCCGCCTCTGCCTGGAGGCAGAGGTGGGCGGCGGACGGCGGCTCTGGTGAACAAATGGCAAGAAGAAGAAGATGAACAGTGTTTTTGCCCTTTATTGATATTATTTTTAAAAAGTTAACCTATTTTTGAATTTTTTTTAAATATATTACTTTTATTGATATTAAACCCCAAAAGTTGCCCTTATATGCTAGAATCCCATTAAAAATTCACAACTGATGATTGAAAAAAGAAGAAAACAAAATAACAAAAGAAGCTAAGCATAAGGTTCATGGATTAAAAATTTTTAATTGTTCACTAACGTTTTCATATTATCATTCCCCACATAATTAATGAATGTTTTTTTTATTGTTGATAGAACTGACATTGACAAATTGAGTATTTCTTTCACACATTCAAATATAGTCTATGTCTAATTTGGGAAAAACAACGCTTGTTTGTTGTTTTCAGGGCTCTAAAACAACACTTGTTAGTTGTCTTCTTACGGAAGTAAGAAGGCAAATCAAATACTTAGATCATGAAATGATCGATTCCGTAGCATCTTCTATCCAAAGGATTCCATAGCATTTACTGATCGCATGCTACAATAGAATAGTGAACCAACGAATTCACATGTTTGAGTTTTTTTTTTTTTATGAATTTCACATGTTCGAATTGTTGTCACATGGAGCCATCAAAAAATAGTGAACCAATGAAAAACAGATGTTTGTAAAACCAAATCTTACTTCTTCCACTTGGAAGATTGACTATATGTTAAAGAACTTAAAGTGCAACATAATATTGGAACTGTAATTGGCAACATTTAAGGAAGAAAGTGTAGACTATAATAAGAGAAGATGACTATCCATCTAGGAATCAATATACCCACTTTTAATTTATATTCCTCCAAATACTTCCTAGCTTACTCTCTAAGATGCAATCTGACCTCATTTCCACGTCCAAGTGGTTTATTCCATACATCTTCAGAAATTGCAAAAATTAATGACTCATCAGCTGTGAACTCCATATACACCTGAAAACAACAAAGAAAATTTATATTGGTTTTCCATGTCCGCAAAGGATCCAAGTGAGAGACGAGAAAAAGACTTTCCAAATTAATTAGTTAAAATGTCCAAATGTTACTATCTGTACAGATGATTCAACATAGTCAACAACAAGATGCACAGAGTAAAACCCAACACCAAAACTGCCCATTTTCTCTACAAAAGTTGCATAAGAAAGAAAAATATGACTTGGTACAATCCAAAACTGAATAATAAACATCATAATGTTTTCTTGTCTAGACCAATTAAAAATAAAGTTGCCTGAAGTTTCAGATTTTGCAATGGTTCCCATCAAATGCAAACCTTGACAAGGAACTTGAAATATCATTATACCAACAAGATTCACCTAACCAAAACCAGCAAACAGAGACTTGGCTGGTCACCAAAACCGGCAAGCATAAACTGTAAACCCAAAACTAGGAGAAAATAAATAGCTTCAACTTATGAAAACCACCCTTTACCGAGAAATAGAAATCGACACCTACAAAAACACAAACAAATAGAAACCAACCCGTTAGGGTTAGAAAGAAAGAGAGACGGAGGGAGATGTTACCTGCATTTTTAGTTTTGTACTGTTGGAAAGCTTCGGTGGCATTAAAAATGGATGATGCTGAGAAGTTAACAAACCCTTTCCTCTCAACAACCCCTCATGATGTGGTGATTTGTCACGCCTCCACTTCCTACAAACAATGTAAAAACGAGAAAACCCTAAGGAGAAGTTCCAATAATTTTTGCAATAAAATAATGTTAATAAAATGGGCTCTACATTTTATATTTTCAATAATTATTATCATTTTTAATGATAAAAGGTTATCCAAGTAGAATTGAAAGTTATCTAATAATATTATTAAAAGTTTGTATTATTATAAGTTTAAAAATTTTATTTACTATTAATTAATAATAGTAAATCTTAACTCATAAGTTATCTAATAATATTAATAAAAGTTTAAAACTATCAATTAATATTTTTATATTTAAATTTCTTTTCTTATTAACATTTATTAAGTTTGATTTTTAAGTGGAATTGAAACGCATTTTTAATATTTACTAAGTTTTGTTAATTTAATCAAGATAAACAATGATTATTGTTTTATACTTTTAAAACAAAAGAATATAAGAAAAATGCAAAAATTGGAAAAAAAATAGATAAATAACTACTCTCAAAAGAGAGATATGTTGATAGATAGATAGATTTTACATGGGTAAAGTGCATTTACATTTTTTTTTTTAAATCTACGCAGTTAAATCAGACGATTCAACTTTTTCCATGTTCTTCTGTTCATTGTTCATCCACTTTTCTAGTTAAATTTTCCATCTTTTTCATTTTTACGATTGGGCCCATGTCCATGTTTTTTGCATTATATTGTTTTAATGGATATTTTTGATAAATTGTATTTTGAGCATTTATTCTCCACTCAAGAAGGTTAACTTTCCTAAACCAAAGAAGGGCAATACTTTCCTGAATAAGTAATACTTGGGGAAAACAAATTTACCATTGGTCCCACCTAAATCCTCAAAAAGAACATAGAGAGTCAATCAATGGGAAATGAACAAGGCCCTTGGGTGGAGCTTGAAGATGATGCCTAATTAACAAGTTTAGGACCTTTAGGTCCATTTGTCCATTGTTTTTTTTTTACCATACAATTTTAAGTTAACGCATTGGCCAAAAGGAGAATTTAGATGTCCTGCCTATATGACATTACAATTGTACATTGGGAACATCTTCTTTATTGCATGTTACTATTCATGGGAGATGTTCCCAATGTACAATTGTAGTGAGGCAAGGGTAGGATATCTGAACTCCAAAAAGAATTTATGTAAACTACACAGTATAATTGGGATAAGCCATGGATTATGATGATTTCTTAAGGGACCATTTGTTTTGCTGGAATAAAGGATTGGAATCATAATCGAAATAGATAAATTCCAATTCTAATTGTTTGGATGGACAAAATTGAAATATCATTCCTATTCTTGGTGGAATGGCACTCTCCCATTTGAGAGAATAGTCATTCCCCCCTCCTTCCTTGGGTTTCTAGCTTATTCCAATTCCTATTTGAATTAAAAAGAAAACGAGAATAAACTATTCTAATTCCATTTCTAAGGGATTTCAGTTCTAATTCCGATTTCAACTACAAACTAAATTGACCCTAATTTTTTGAAAAGAACCACTAAAGGTCACACAAAAAAAAAATGGATCAGGTAGGCACAACATTGTAATCATGTTCAATGAGCATTTAGAAAATATTTTGAAACATCCCTTAACATACCCCCAACCTACCCTTGAAAAAGATTAAAAACAACTTTTGATAGTCGTCAGAATATTTATTAAGTCCTCATTTGTCAGAATATTTATTAAGATACCCCCAACCTACCCACCACTAATTTTACCAAAAGAGATACTACCATCATTAGATAATATACCACAATCATTAACAACATTAGGAATAATTCAAAGGAAGACAACAAGGCTCAAGGGTCATTTGTAACAACTAAACTAAAAGATTTGTAGGGGTATAGTGATTGACACAATTTCAGTTTCAGCCATTAAAGAGTCCACAACCTCCTTAAAAACTTATTCACTAAAGAACGAAGCAATAAGTTTTTTAGTTCAACATCTTCAGGTGTTACCAAATGACCCATCATTAATGGTTAAGTCTTTCTAAGCTATCCAAATACAATAGCAAATAACAGAATAACAATTCAAAAACCGTGATTTATCCAACTTAAAAATTGGTTCAAGTAAGATCACTTTGGATCAAAGTGGTTTTGTTTCCTTTTAAATAGAGATCCAAGATAGGTTTATTGGCCCAATGTGACCTCTCTAAGTTTTGAACTAGGCCATGGCTTGTTGTCATTGCAAGTTGCAACAAACACCAATCCACAAGACAAGGGTGTTCACAAGTTGGTTTGGTTCGGTTGCAGGCTTACAGTGTCCAACAATTTGGCCAATTGAACCCATTTGGTCTAGTTGGGGAATTGACCACCCAAAACCAACTGACCATTAATAAAAACTAACCAACTTGAGTCATATCAACTTGGTTGATCGGTTCAAAAACAGCCCATAACTAATTTGTTCAAGTAGGAAAGATGGTTTGGTTGAATAAAAAATTTAAAACAACAAAGGTAATAATAATTGTAGTTGTATAAAGTTATTTCCTAGCTTTAATTCTATTAAGTTTGTATATATAAAAAACGTTATAGTTTGATGTCAAAGCATGCTTAAGGTTGAGCCTGGATTGAGCTTAAACCCAACCCAACTTAACCTACTTTCACTCTTAATTGCATCTCCATCATTCGTTTGATGTCAAAGCATGATTTTATTGTTCCATGGCACATTGAGCCCTTGTTGAAGATGTATGGTCTAGTTTACAACATTGTTTGTTAGTCAAGTTTGAATATTGTTATGGTCTAGTTACTACATATAATATAATATGGAAGAAGTGCATGAGATTCCATTCAAATCCTCCAACACTATTAACTAGAGTCCAAAGTAACATGCTCTGTTCATATCACATGGGATAGTGAAATTCAATCACTAACAAAGTTCAAATTTTTTATACGATATGCCTTGTATGTATTAGTTACATGCCAAAACAACTTTTTATGGTATTTTATAGAAATGTTACTTTTAATAGTTAAATATCTAAATATAGAGTAGCCTACCTCACGTGTAATGTGGGTGTGATTCTATTGGGTTTACTAGATCTAGTAGGCATAACATAGTAAGCACGTTTAATGAGGACTTAATAAATATTCAGACAACTATCAAAAGTTGTTTTTAATCTTTTTCAAGGGTATGTTGGGGGTATCTTAAGGGATGTGTCAAAATATTTTCCAAGTGCTCATTGAACATATTACAATTTTGTGCCTGCCTGATCAAAACATTTTTTTGGTGTGTGAACTTTAGTGATTCTTTTCAAAAAAAATAGGGTCAGTTTAGTTTGTAGTTGAAATCAGAATTAGAACTAGAATCCCTTAGAATTGGAATTAGAATAGTTTATTCTCGTTTCCTTTTTAATTCAAATAGGAATTGAAATAAGCTAGAAACCCAAGGAAGGAGGGGGGAATGACTATTCTCTCAAATGGGAGAATGTAATTCCAGCAAGAATAGGAATGATATTTCAATTTTGTCCATCCAAACAATTAGAATTGGAATTGATCTATTCCGATTATGATTCCAATCCTTTACTCCTACAAACCAAATGGTCCCTTAAGAAATCATCATAATCCATGGCTTATCCCAACTATATTGTGTAGTTTACACAAATTCTGTTTGGAGTTTGGATATCCTACCCTTGCCTCACTACAATTGTACATTGGGAACATCTCCCATGAATAGTAACATGCAAATATAGGAGATGTTCCCAATGTACAATTGTAATGTCATGTGGGCAGGACATCTGAATTCTCCTTTTGGCCAATGCGTTAAATTTAAAACTATATGGTAAAAAAACAATGGACAAATGAACCTAAAGGTCCTAAACTTGTTAATTAGGCATCATCTTTAGGCCCCACCCAAAGGCCTCGTTCATTTCCCATCGATTGACTCTCTAAGTTCTTTTTGAGGATTTAGGTGGGACCAGTGGTAAATTTGTTTTCCCCAAGTATTACTTAATTAAGGAAGTATTGCCCTTCTCTGGTTTAGCAAAGTTAACCTTATCGAGTGAAGAATAAATGCTCAAAATACAATTTATCAAAAATATCCACTAAAACAATATAATGCAAAAAACATGGACTTGGGCCAAGAGTAAAAATGAAAAAAGATGAAAAAATTAACTAGAAAAGTGGATGAACAAAAGAACATGGAAAAAGTTGAATTGTCTTGTTTAATCGCATGGATTTAAAAAAAAAAAAAGTAAATGCACTTACCCATGTAAAATCTCTCTCTCTCTCTCTCTCTCTCTCTCTCTCTCTCTCTATATATATATATATATTAAAATTGGTCTATCCATGTCAATATATCTCTCCTTTGAGAGAAGCTATTTATCTATTTTCTCCAATTTTTGCATTTTTCTTATATTCTTTTGTTTTAAAAATATAAAACAGTAATCATTGTTTATCTTGATTAGATTAATAAAACTGCACACTATTAAAGAGAGACCTTTGGATTTTTCAAGGCCTCTTATTTTAATGCATGTTATTATTATATTTAAAAAAGACATTTAAGAGAGAGAGAGAGAGAATTGATAGTAATAATATAAATCAAATAATATAAATAGGTTAAGGTTAAACAATCAAAATATTATTAATTTAAAAATCAACTAAACTTTCACTAAATTTAAATATTAACAAAAGTTAGTAAATATTAAAAAATTGTTTCAATTCCACTTAAAAATCAAACTTAATAAACACTAATAAAAATAATAAATTTAAATATAAAAATATTAATTGATAGTTTAAAACTTTTAATAATATTATTAGATAACTTTCAATTCTAGTGAGATAACTTTTTATCATTAAAAATGATAATAACTAATGAAAATATAAAATGTAGAGCCCATTTTATTAACAATATTTTATTGCAAAACTTATTGAATAATAAAGAAAAATCCAACAATTAATTAAAAATAAGAAATTTAAATATGAAAATATTAATTGATAGTTTTAATAATATTATTAGATAACTTTATATTTATATATTTTTAATTAATTTATATTTTTTTTGAGATGAGACCTTTATTATGCATAATGAACTCATTAAAAATGATAAAAATTAATGAAAATTTAAAAGTATGATTTATAGTATTTTATATTAAAAAATACCAAAAATTATTAAAAAATACACAAGCCAAAAATTATTGAAAAATATTGAAAATTAACTATATTTTTTAACTATGGTATTTATTTAGTTATTTAATTTATTTTTACTAAAAGCAAATGCAAATTAATTTTGTAGTGATCAATATGCAAAATAAATGCTGAAAATACTGAAAATTATTGAAAGATACTCATATGCAAAAATTACTGAATAATAATGAAAAACACAAAAATTTAATTAAAAATCCAAAACTAAATAAAAATTAAATTAATTGTATTTTATTGCAAAAAAAATACTGAATAATAATGAAAAAATAATGCATTTTAATTATTAATAGTAAAATAACTGACAGTAATTATTTTTAAACTGTAATTAATAGTAATTATAATTTAAGCTATAAATAGTAGAAAATTATATTTAATTACCAAAAAGTTATATTTAATTACCATAAAATTACATTTAATTAGTTTTAGCGAAAATATGATATAAAGTAATTTCATAATTATAATATTTTAATAATTAATAAAAAAGTAACAAATCATTTATAACTTAAGCAACTATTAGATCTATAAATTTGCAAACTCAAACAACTATTTTGTTTGAAGTTAGGTCTAGCTAAGATGTGCACTATGCCCACACATTATCAGTGATAATCACATTCAAAGTCTAATTGGGTATCAAACTTTTGGATTTCTATGATGGCTTTAGCGGATAGGTCCCAAGTTAAATAACCCCTAATAAGATCAACTTGAAAGTTATATTCATATATGGTAAATATTATTATATAATATTTAAATAACAAATTTTATATTAATATATATATAGAAATATTATCTATTTCTTTATACTAGAGTATAATTAATTAAAAAATTTAATTTGTAAACAATTGTGTACATAAAAAATCATATGAAATAAAAGTTTAAACACCTTTTTCAAATTTTATTTTTTAAAAATGGACCTCTCATAGCTTGGCCCGGTTCGTAGCCTGGCCTGGCCCAAGGCACGACACGAGCCTGTGCGGGCTCAGGCCGTGGGCCATGTCGAACCGATCCCCCAAATTATCCCAAGGGAGGGAGGCACGGCCCAAGACACCCCATGGGCCAACATGGCATGGCCCACACTTTGTGCAGGCCACATGCGGGTCGTGTCATGCTAGCCCAACACGACCTGATTTATACCTCTACTTGAGCCCGCCCAATACTAGGGACAAGTGGTTGCCTTACTCTAAACTTGCCTGACACTGGGGACGAGCGTGGGGATGGAGTAGAGTGTCTTGACTATGCAACAGGGACAGGGATGGGTGCCCCACCTTGAACCCACCTTCTTGTCATTCCTATATATTGTTAACTATTAGTGAAATTAATAAAAATGTTAGTTTTTATAATTATTTTTATTTATTTAAAGTTAATCAAAATTTCATCTAAAAGTAATAAAAATAATAATAATTATTAAAATCACTACAAAGTATTAACAATAATTATTTTCTTTAAATCAACATTAAATGAAAAATACAATTATTAAAATTTTAAATATTAACAAAAACTTTGAATACTTTTAGTTAATTAATAATAAATTTTAATTATTAATTAATTATAAATAAAATTATTAAATCTTGCAAATTTCTCGTGCATGCACGGGTCCCCGCTAATGGCTTCTTATAGACAAACTTGTAATGGGTTCGCATACGCCCCCCACAGAGTTGCCCCCCAAATACATCCCACATGTTGTGGGCGCGCCTTCATCCCGTTAACTCCCTCTTGCCCAAAAGGGCATCATCCCCTAGGCATTCTGTGTTCGTATCCTCTCTCTCCAAACTCTAATCTTAGAGCTGAAACCTCCACCTTCCATAACCCGTCGAAGATTTGTTTTTCTTCATTGTAACGAAACCAACTGATTTCTCCGTATAGATGGTTCCCCTAAAAAGCTTCTCACCTGCAATCTTTACAACTTTTTCCTTCTTTTTCACAAAAAATTTAACTACTTCCATTGGCAATGCAGGCCATGAACACAAATCAGACATTACCAGTTTACCACCACCACCAGAGACTTTGGTTCCTTTTTTTTTTTTTCTCCTAAAAGGAACCACTAAAATCTTTTCAAGATCCCTAAAAAGCTCATTTTGGGGTTTGGGCGGCTTCTCCTTTTATCCTTTTCTTGTTGTTTGCTTCTCATGGAGACCATACCAGATGTCACTACCAGTGCTGGTAGTGTTGTTATAGTTATACTAAATAAAATTCTTTCTTTCGAGAATCCAAACTGATGTGTTCACTTCCTCTCATGGAAAACGAGAAAAGATAAAAATTTGTGGGCTTAGAGTTCAAAGAGAAAAAAAGAGAAATAGATGAAAAGAAACAACTCCAAATATGATCAAAACCAATCAATTTCAAGTTCTATCAATACACATTTCTACTACTCAAAAACCAGAATGTCATTGCCAAGTATTTTTTGTTTTTTTTTTCTTTCCTATAATCATCACCAAATGAATAACTACATTCACTCTCCCCAGAATAAAGAAAAATGAAAGAGTGAGAGAAAATAAAATTGAAAAAATGGAAACAATAAATTTCTTTATGGGCTCTTACAAGCATAGATCAATAAAGAAAACTTAACTCTCTCTTGGTCCTTTTGCGCAGTCTTCTCCTCCAACAACAATCGGCTGTCCAACCCGCTTTCTTGTCCTAAACATGAAAACAACATATCCAGAGTCTGGATTGAAGAATCAGTCATGAACATCCCACAACATATCAACCAGCAATCCATCAACAAAGATGGTCTGGTTCCCTCTAAAATTCCACTGCAACCTCTTCGCTCGAATTACCTTCCTCTTAGCGATACAGACTGATAGCACTGGATACTTCAACCCTTCATCTTCTTAGCTGCATCTGATCAAAATGTCGCGTGCTGTCCCAGTATCGCAGAATTGCGTCTCAATCGAATACAAAGGGTTCCCTAAGAAATGTTCTGTTCGGAAAACCAAAGAGAATTGGGCAACTGAGACAACCTTGAACTTTTTGCGAACCACTTCTTTACCCATGTCTCCAAGGATCAATCTAAGTTCAAAGGGGATACGAACACAGAATAGCATAGGGAATGATGCCCTTTTAGGCGTGAGGGAGTTAACGAGGCAGTTAACTTTGCACGAGTTTCTTTAATCTGCGTGTAGGCGGAGACGCGCCGCGCCCGCAACGCGTGGGATATATTTGAGGGGCGGACGTGAACCCGTAATGTTAAAGCAAACCAAACCCTAGAGGCCTAGAAAGCTCGATATATCCCGGAACCGGGGCGACACAATCCATCCCCACAACCTCCACGGTTATTCTGTGAACTTTTTCCACAACCATTGGCGACGGCGAATTGATTTCAGCCATGGATTTCGACCATCGGATGACGGAAATTTATTGGATGGGGTCTCCAATGCTAGAAGCCTTTCTTTGTCGTCAGATTGGAATTAAACATTCCACGTACCGAAATGTGGTCCATATTTAAATATCTACACGCGGCCACGCCAAAAGGACCTTTTTTTCACCGACTTTGTTGTCTCTCTGGTGTTGCTTGCACCGAGAGAGGAGAGAGAGAAGAACCAAATCTGTCGAAAAGCTCTTGCTCGTTAGGGTTTCTGCTCCAATTTCCAATTCCTCATCTTTCTCAATTGTCGTTCCATTGAAGTCATAGAGCAATTTCTCGTTGATTCCTTTGATCTTTTAGAGAATCTTGTATAAATCCTGTGCTTTGATTCTTTTCTGCGTTCATTTTCTCCTAGGTTCTGTAGGTTATTATGCCTTTTTGTTCGTACGGTCAATTTGATCTCCAAAACAGAGTTTGAGAATCTTCTGTGGAAGATTTCTAGCGTTTACTATTTGATTTCAGTATCCTGGTTAGGAGAGTTCTAGGGTTTTAGAAAATGCAGCAGAGGTTAAAGCAGCAAGCCCTGATGCAGCAGGCGTTGCTTCAGCAGCAGCTCTATCATCCCGTGCTCGCTGCCGCGATGCCTCAGGTTCGATATATTATCTCTTTCGCTGCATTTTGTGTAGATTCTGTTGATGAATATGCTTTTACTTTGATTGAAGTCATTGATCATGTATGTATTCTTAGTTGCTTTTGTGTTGATGCAAGATTCGATGTGAAGGCTTTCATTAAATTTTCTTGGTTCAATTTCTTAAATATCTTGTTATTTTCTTACTTGCATGATGTATTACTGCCTTCACGGTTCAATTCATTTTAGTTAAAGCGAGACTTCCCGTAACTGTAGCATTATGTGGCTCCGCTAATGTGCATGATTTGGTATTTTTTAACAAAAAATAAGTGTCTCATCAGTGTTTGCTAGCACTTTACTAAGTTCTTTATCTAATGACATAGTGTTAATATTCTCATTTACATGGTTTGCCAGTGAATCAAGGATGCTGTGAACTTGAACATCTAATGAATTCAAACTAACAGAGAAGATTAGAAATTTATAATATCGTCAAAATTTATTGATTATATTGTCAAACTTTCCATATTTTGATTGGTCTTTATTTGCAACTGAACTAAATACCTAGAAACCTATTTTGGTGGAAATCGAGAAAAAAATAGGGCACTATAAGGGAAATGGGCAGGAAAATGAGAAGATAAGAGTAGAGCAAAGAATAAACAGGGAAAGACTAGCTAAGTTGGAAGAGATAAAATTAAAAGTCTTTTTTATTGACTTTTTGTTTTTAATTTTGAGGCCAGTCTCAAGAGTCAAAACCTGGTTCTTGATGGATCTAAATCCATGACCAGTAAGAAGCTATTGTGTTTTTACATTTTACTTGTGTAATTTATAACAACATAAACTGAAATTATTTGCAATTGACTAGGTCTAATTATATTTGTACATTTTGATTCTTTTCTTTTGCTCAGTTGGTAAGTGTGAGTTGTGCTTATTAAGAAAATGACAGATCAATTAGCCTAACAATTGCACAGAGTGCAAAAATGTATTAGTTAGAATAAGATTGTTGCCCTATTTTTTGCCTTTTTCCCCTGTTTATCTCCCACTTTTGTTGGCTGTCTTATGTCATCCTTGCCAATTTATAGAATTGAGATTTTGGTCTAGATTTTCTGTTTTTGCATTGCATTAGGAATTTATTAGTTTTAGTTTTGAGCAACTGCAACTCTTTTTTCCCTTTTCCTTAATATTTTGCCTTTCGGATGTGGGTTATTGGATAGAGGTTGACAGGTTGTATTGGACAGCTGTGGGATTTTTTTTCTTTCATTTTGTTAGGAAATCCTCTTAGACTTTTCAGGGTCATTTTCTTTATTTTCTTCTTTTTTTCTTTTATATTTTGCAGATGGAGCCGGTTCCAAGTGGAAATCTGCCTCCTGGGTTTGATTCATCTTCATGCCGTAGTGTGTGAGTTCTATGCAACGGTTTTCTTTGTTTCTTTTTCTTTTATTTTTTTTTGCATTTATGCTTCTTGGGGCCCAAACCTTGAAGTTTGAACAGGTTTTTCTAGGTTCCTACAATTGAGAGAACTTTTGGAGTGTTCACCTTTTATAATTTATGAAAGGAGCGGACTTTCTTTTGGACATCTATTTGGGTCCTTTCTTCTGATGTAGCTCCTCAACCTATGATTTATAAGCTTGCAGTGATTGGCAGTGCTAAGCATAACGTTGCATACATTTTGGTCTTATTCACTATTTGTTTAGTGTCCTCCATGTTATTTGCCTATTAATGAAGATAGGTCATGCTGATTCAGGTATGTGGGCAATATTCATCCGAATGTGACCGAGACTCTTCTTGCAGAGGTCTTCCAGAGTACTGGTCCACTTGAAGGATGCAAGCTCATCAGAAAAGAGAAGGTTTGGTTATTATAATTGCCAGACCCCCATGATTATTAGTTTTTTGGTGATTATTTCTTTTAGCTTGCTTGCAATTTATTTTGCTTTGATATCACATTAAGCTATTAAGTCAAGCCATTACACATTGGTCATTGGTTGTGGTTCCACTGTTGAAAAGCTAGTCAGGTTACATTTGCTCGTGTAGTTTGTGGATTAAAATGTTTTATTTTTATTTGTTTCTTATGAAGCATTGCTTATTGTAGGCAGCTGTGGTCTTTTCTTTTTTCTTCTACTATACTGAATCAAGTATGTTATATTCTTACAGTAGCATACAGTAAGATATCAGTTGATTTGAACATGGTATTTTATGTTTACTTCTCATTTATCCTTCAGGCCTCAGTGATAATCATTCCATTACAACATATTTTATTTAACGGACTGTTTTCTCTGAAGGTTACTTTTTGCATTGCTCCCTGTCAAGTAAGCTTGAGATGGATGGTGATACTGCATACTGTCTGCTAGGCTGCATGGTGTACATTCTCTTCCAAGTAATGTATAATTTGGCATAGGCCGCAAGCACTTGGGAAAAGCTGATATCAATACAAGCAGCAAGCCAATTCTGGTGGAGACAACCAAAATCAAATGAGCTGCACAGCTGATGAAAGTATTGCTTACCAGTGGAATAGAGTGGGCCCTAACTAGTGTTTTAAAAAGCGTGGGAGGCGTATGCCTGGCGGCACTGACACCCCCAGGCGAGGTGCCCCCGTATGCCTAGGTGCCTCAGGTGCAAGAGGCATATGCCTCGTACGTTTTTTTCATGAGGCATGCTAGAGGTGTACGCCTCATGTAAAAAGACAGAAAAAAAAGAAAAAAAAAAGGAAAAAAAAGGAAAAGAAAAGAAAGGGAAGGGAAAGAAAAAGAAAGAAAGAGAAGAAAAAAAGAGAAAGAAGAAAGAAAAGAAAGGGAAAGGGAAGGGAAAGAAAGTGGGTTGGGGGCTTACCCCATGGCTGGGGCCTTCGCCCCCCAGATTCCAGCCCCCCTTTTCAATCAGCCCAATTTGTTTGTTTTTTTTTTTGTTAGTGGGATTTTGAACTAGTGCTATGCATATTCATTCTTCTCAATATAAAATTTTTTTATTAAAAATAAATATAAATGAGATTCTTCTTCCTCTTCTTCCTCCTCATCCCCCCTTTCTCTTAAGGAGGCTTACACCTCCTTGTGTTTGGGGGGCTTACGTCTCTTACAATTTGAACTACACCTCATGCCTCTAGGTAGTGGAACACCTCTGCATTTTAAAACATTGGCCCTGACATTTTGTTTGGTTGCTAAGCAAATGAGAAAAGAAAAGAATGTAAAAATGAAGAATTTTCTTTTAGGAGTTAATTAGACCTGCTTTGCTTCCTTTCATTTTCTAATGTTCCCTACCTTTTAGGAGAGAAAAATAAAAGAAGTTAAAGGGATGCACTTTTCTATTTTTTTTGGTTGCAGTGTCTAAGTCTGGAGGAATTAATTCAGTCTGCAGTGTCTAAGCTTGTTTCTTGGCTGTCAGTTAACTCTGAGTTTAAGTCTCAGAATTGTTTCCATTTGCTTTGTACTCGGTCTGTTTGGAGTCTGTAACATGCCTTCTTTCTGGGTGTGAGATGCCTGGAAATTGTTGTATCTTTTTCATCCTTTAATAAAATTTTTACCTCACCTTCTCAATTTTTTTTTCTTGAATTTCTTTCCCTTTTTTGGTTTCCCTTGTCAAACAAATGGAAAATCACTTTCTTTAGATTATATTTTCCTTTCATCCATTTTCTTTGCAACATAGCACAACTTAAATGGATATCTCATAAGTGGTAGGTCTTTGGAAGATTCATTTGCTACGCTAATATGAACTGCACCATATGAAATGAAAATAATATCTACCCAAGTACCACATACAGATGCAGGATTCTACAGTTGGAATAGGAACCTGGTACAGTGGGGCAGTTTTCCTCTCATTACCCACTTTTTATCTTCAACGAGAATGTTGTAAGCGATATTCTGTATTTGAAGTTTTGTATTTGGTTGGAACTGAGTCTTGTGAAAAACCAAGTGGCCAATTTTCTTACAAAAAGTTGCATTGAAGAAAATTCTTTGTGGTACAGGGTACAAGAACCATATAAGATGTTATGTGTCTTTCAATATGGTATATACTACATATCATAGCCTTTGGTGGTTTGGTGGATAGCTTTTACTTTTATATTGAAAAAGTGTTCCACTTTTATTTACTTTTTACATTCTCTTTTGTTTGCAAAAATGACCTAATAGAAGACGGAACAATACTTGGTATTTGTGTTTGTTTAACATACATAGGTTGGAAGTTATTAGCTGATACTATGCATATTATCCAAGAATTGAAACTCAAACTTTCCTGTTTATTCTTTGTTGCTTATTGGCAGTCATCGTACGGGTTTGTGGATTACTATGATCGAAGGTCTGCTGCACTTGCTATAATGACATTGCATGGACGACAACTGTAAGAAAAAAATCTCTTGTATCAAGCAATCCCATTTTGGTGTCTTATTTAAGCTTTTATTCACCCTTTGATGGACTGTCTTTTTTCATGAGGGTTTCACTGTACTTGATTGCTCAAAACATGGTTTAAGCAATTTAGATTTTGAGCAGTGTTAATCTAATTGGTATTTGAGCATTGCAGTGTTTTTTCTAATGGAAAGCTGAATAAATTTGTCTTTCAAATGCTTTAATTGCCTTATTGTTAGTTTGCTTTAGGAATAATAGTCTTTTTTTTTTTCATTTTTTTTTTCAGTTGAAATAATCATACCATGCTTTGAATCCTCATGAAATATATATCTTAGTGCTATGGATAATGTTTTCCCTATTTAATCCATTTGCAGTTATGGTCAGGCAATTAAGGTGAACTGGGCATATGCCAATGGCCAGAGGGAGGATACTTCTGGTTGGTTCTTACATCCATTTCTCCCTTTCCCCTATTTCCCTATATCTCACTTGAGGATTCCCCCCCGCCCCCCTTTCTACAATGTCATCACTGAGCTAGCTTCAATGGTGTTTATGTTTGTTAGGGCACTTCAATATTTTTGTTGGTGATCTGAGCCCTGATGTCACTGATGCAACATTGTTTGCCTGCTTCTCAGTATATCCAAGTTGTTCGTAAGTTTCTTTTTGTCTTTTATCTGTTATGGTTTGTTTTGGATAGTGCTATTTTAATTGACTGTATTCATGTTTGATTATCAATCAAATTACTTTGCAGGGATGCAAGGGTCATGTGGGATAACAAAACTGGGCGATCTAGGGGATTTGGGTTTGTTTCTTTTCGTAATCAGCAGGTATTTTCATAATCAATTATTATTTTGTGATAGAGTATTATTAAGTTTGCTAATGGTTCATTCATATCAAACAAACACAGAGAATAAAAAAGTAAATGATTAATGATATGGAGAATTGTCTTCCAAGCTAAACAAAAGTGTCAGAATCTTAACTCTAATGTTTATATATATGCTAAAGGTTCATCTGTATCAAACAAGCAATGACAAAAAGAAAAAGAAAATGGTATGGAAGGAAAAGTGTCAGAATCTAAACCCTGTCTGACATGGACACTACATCCATTTGGTAGAACCCACATGACACTGCTTAATTAGGAGTTTGAATTTAATAATTGGAACTAATATCTAATAGCAGTTTATTATTGTCAATGTTAGCCAAGAAGGGATTCAATAGGGAGCAATTGTATTGGGCTTAGTTGTAATGTGTCATTAAATTGTGGAGAGGTAGCCAGCTTGTACCTCTCCAGGGGATGCTTGTGTTGTATGTACATATCTTGTATCATTTTAATAAATAAAATGTAAAGTTACTTATAAAGAAACCAAGATCACCAGACATTAATTATCTTATCTGCTGTGATTGTTTTGCAGGATGCACAAAGTGCTATAAATGACTTGACTGGTGAGGAAACTGCAACTGGTTAAATCCTTTTTGCTTTACCCTTTTTCAAGTTTCAGAAATGAAAAGGGATGGCAATGTTAACTTTCAGGGAAATGGCTTGGAAATAGGCAAATTAGATGTAATTGGGCAGCCAAAGGAGCTGGATTTAATGAAGACAAGCAGAACAGTGATAACCAAACAACAGTAGTACTTACAAATGGCTCTTCAGGTATTTTGCGTGTCTTTTCCTTGACATTTGAATGCACACATTTTCTAGGTAATCATTGGCTTCAGCGTTCTTTTGTTTTTTTTGCCCTTTTTGGATAGGTCACCTATCGTGGCACTTCTTATTGATTATGATACCCAAATACTGTAAAAGGGTGCCTTATTTTTTTTGATCAATAATAAAACTTTCATTAATCAAACAGGATAATTAATTACAAGGGTGCCTTATTGTATCAGATACTTCAATTTTTATTGTAAATTATTTATATGGTTTCAGCGATTTGTTGGTAGTTTACCCATCCTGGTACTACTAATTGATTATGATACCCACATAGTATACAGGGGTGCCTTATTGTATCAGATACTTCATCTTTTAGTATAAATTATGTATATGACATGTCCAGCTGTGTCACCTCCTTCTAATGTTTATTTTTTTTGTTAATGAATAACCAAGAATCTTATAAGATGATAGAAAAGAATGGATTATGTTCAATCAGTGTTTTAAAAGCACAAGGTGCAGGGGCCAATTTGCGCCCAACGCGCAAGGTGAGGCGCACACCTATTTGAAGCAAGGTGCACAAAAATACAAAAAAAATGCTAAAAAATCAAAAACATGTCAGAAAATTCAAAAAAAAGCCAAAAAATAAAAAAAATTAATAAAAATATAAACTTAAGTTTTAAAATAAATGTTTTAAAAACCTATTATCTAAAAATTAAAATACATAAACATAAAATGTAAAGCATATTCAAATGAGAATTTAAAAAATAAAGTCAAACATGTAAAACATTTTCAACCATGTAAAACCCACAATATCTCTTTTTTCCTCAATTGCATTACTTCAACTAGCTAATGTGATGTAAAACATATTACATTCTTGATTCTACAAGCCGCCTTTGTGCCACACCCCTCGAGGCAAGCCCAAACAAGTCCATGTTAGGGTCTTAAATTCTTAGTTCTCACACAAAAATTAACGATTTTATAATTTTAATTGCTTTTTAAGAAGACATTTTATTAGGATGAATGAATGACCAACATTAGCAAATAGGGGGTTGGGCGGAGCCCCCGGCCTAGCCACTAGGTTCAAAAAAAAAAAAGAAAAAAAAACGCCAAATTTTCAAAAGGTGCATGCCTGGGCTGAGGCACAAGGTGCATCACGCGCACCAGGCGTGCGCCTAGGACCTAGGCGAAGCGCATACCCTAAAATGCACCTCACCTGTGCACCTAGGCGCGCCTTTTAAATCACTGGTTCAATCATGCAAAAATGTCCCAGAATAGATAGATCGGTAATCCTGACCTTACTGTGGGATTCCTCCCATGTACAGCTTCATTATAATGGGCTCTCCCTTTTTTTTTTCCTCTCCCATTTCATACATTTAATACAATGGACTTCATCTTTTCTCAAAACGAAAAAATATTAGATGACCAATTCCCTGTCCAATGCCTTAAATCTCGTTTGTAGTATTACGAAAGCACCTGGTGACCTCTTTGTTGTTTGGTTAAACAAGGGGTAGAAAGACAGCCTATGTTTTGGGCCTATTTGTAATTTTTTGGGGTTTAGACATCTGGTGTCCACTTTGTTCCCTTCACAACTTCTGGTTGTACTTTTTTTTTATTTTAATTCTAATGAAATCGACTTCCTGAGTTATTGATAAAAAAGGTATTACAAAAACACCATGATCCTTGACTATTTCCCTTCATCCAGCCTAGAACAACTGTGAAGTCCTTTTCTACTATTACATGATTCAAGTTTAGATACTTTATAAGTCTCAAAATCTCTAATGCTGAAAGTAGTCCTGTTATGGTAGAGTTTCTATAGGTGCAACTTGGGCTTGGTTGGGTTGGAAAGTTTTATATTTTCAATGAGCCTGAACCCTAACCCAAGCTCAATGTAATTGAAATTCTTCAAGTTGGGAAAACTGACTTGCAGTCCTAAGAGTTTTAATGGCCATCTGGATCTTAGTACATATAGCCAAATGTTGCCTTGATGCTTTCTTATAAATCCCCCTATACCGGATGGGACTGGGTTGCCTAAGCTACAGCTATTGAAATTTAATTTAACCATATTCATGCTTTTGCCACTGTGACCAGATTTATGCTCTAGTGCTAATAGCAATCCACTTTTAGTTTCTGTTTAAATCATTCATAGAAAAACCTTAAAAAGATTTTCATTATTTTAACCCATGAATCATCTTCTTTATGATGCTTTGAATGAGGGCTTGTAGGCTTTTTTGCTTTGCTTTAAAATTCTGCTATTTTCCAGTATGGCCCATAGAATTTCCATCCTTGTGCAATGCCATAAAATCTTCACCTTATCTTTGTCAATCCAAGCGAAGAGCTTCTAAATAAGCTTTCACCATTTGAGGAGGGTTCCACCTGCAACCATAAATTTAAAGATAACTATTCTCAAATCTGTATAACAAAAGAACAAGGGATTAGCAGATGGAAAGTGGATTTGCCACTTGCTTACAAAACTCACAAATATGATGAGAGGGATATCAAGTGGGTTTCCTTTGCAAAGACTCACAAGTATTGATTCTTGAGTGAAAAACCTCCCAACAGAGGGCATTAATCTTAGCTGTCACTTGCTTGTTCCAACTATTCTTCATGGAAAAAGCATACATGAAGCACTTCAATGGGAGAAAATAGCAGATGGAAGTGTATTTGCAACTTGCTTTATCAAAGTACACATCTGAAGGGAGATGGGTCTCCTTTGTGGAGTCTTGCAAGTGCTGATTTTGGAGTGAAAAATCTCCCAACAGAAGGTCTTAGTCTTAGGTGGCACTTATTCCAAATATTCTTCATGGGTAAAGTACACAAGAAGCAACCAAAGGGAGAAGCTGTCCAAAAACTAGTCTGTCTGAATTAGAAAAGTAAAGAAAAGCTCCTTCATGAGAATTCAATAATTTCAGGCAAAGAAGGCTTTCAAAATCCCCAAGTTCTCTTCTAAGACCCAAGTCCCAAGACAATCCTGAAGGGGAACTGGTGACAAGCTGAGAGATGGGTTTGGCTTTATAAGAAGAGAGTAGATGTAAAACATCTTTGAGCAGCCTCTCCCACACTAATGGTCCTTCAAAAATTTGATCTTATCCTAGTAAAAAAGTATCATAACTAATGTGGCAATAGAAAAGGGGTGCACCTTAGAAAATCTATTTCTAGGGATGTCTCAATGTTGATCCTGAAGATAGGCTACATCCTTGCCATTAGCTCGCAGCCATGAATCGATACACCCCAATACATTGGATGGGTGTATTGTGTTTCAACCCCACACACCTTTTTTCTAGTTTTTTTTTTTTTTTTTCAAGAATTGGTCAAAAGACCAAAATTTTGTGTACTGGTGACCTATCTATATGATAACTACCAGCCAGTACGTTGTGAAATTTTGATCTTTGATGCTAACCACCACACCATGCCATAGTTTGAGTCTATAGGAAACCTCCAAAGCCATTTGCCCAAAAGTGAAATATTAATTTTTTGACTCAACCTTCCAATTCTCAATTTCCTCCTTTTTGACTAGATGGTCCCTCTTGATCTCACTTGATCCTAAAGTCTCTAATGATCATCTTTAATATTTTAGTAAGTTATTTATTATATTTAAATTAGGAGAAAATAATTAGACATTGGGAGTTATTAGTTAACATTTTGAGAAGTTGTGGTTTTGAAGATTTGTGGTGTAAATGGAGCAAGGATTGTTTACAAATGAGTCATTTCTCTATCATTGTTAATGGGTCTGTGGTAGACTTTCTTGGGACTATTAGAGGCCTTAGGCTGGGTGATCCTCTATCTCCTTTTCTTTTTAATTTGGTGGTTGATGTTCTCAGTAGGCTGATCTATAGAGCTAATTGTTTGCACTTTGCAATTGTTCAGAGGTTGGTCTATGGGGAGAGATAGAGTGATGGTAACTCACCTGCAGTTTGCGGATAATATTTTGTTTTCTGTGATGGGGAGAGCAAAGGTGGGTTTGAGAATTTGAAATTGGTGGTAAGCCTTTTTGAAAGAAAGTGCCGCTTAAAAGTTAGTTGGAATAAAAGATTGGTGTCAGGAGTTTATTTAAAAGAAGAGTTGAGGTCTTCGGCAAAAGACTTTGGGGTGTGAAGGTGGGGAGTGACCCTTGATATTTAGGATTACCCCTATGTGATGACCTTAGATTAGTTAGTTTTTGGACTCCAGTGGTGGAAAGAATTGAGAAGAGACTAGCTGAGTGGAAAACAACTATATTTCACTTTTTCATATTTTGATCAGCAGGAAAAATATTTTATTGATGTGAATTTAGGAGTTACAAGAGATTGGGTTTAAGTTCCACCCCAAAACAACAAAAGATTACAGATTTTCTTAAAACATTTGCTTTCTTACAGTATCTTGTTTGGTCAAAGAATCTGCCATTCCATTTGCTATTCTTCTTATGCACTTAAAGGCAACATTTAGCTCCCTTGTTGGGTTTACAATCTCCCTGAAGTTATACTGGAAGACCCAGGGAATCTGGGTACTGTTTCTAGTCCATGAGATGACTACTGGAGAATCCCCATCCACCTCTAGATTGTGGAAGCTCAATTGTTTATCTTGTCTTAACCCCTGCAGTAGACTGACAAGTTCTGCTATCAATGCATCATCATGCTCCAAGGGTCCTGAATACAAGGCCACCACATTACCTTCTATATCTCTGAAAATACTCTTACTTACCCCAGCCAATCCCCTGTTGCCAATAAAGCTTCCATCAAGTTTGAATTTTATGAAGTTAGGGGCTGGGGGCTTTCATTCCATCACTATCAACTATTTTTCACTTGGTGAGTTGGTGTGAGGATAATTCTCTTTAAATCCACCCTAGCTAACCTCCTTGTTTATTTTATGTCCGTCTTTAGGATGCCTTAGATATAGTTGTGAAAATAATTGAGAATTCAGTGAGGCATTTTCCATGGGAGTTGGGGGAAGGGAAAAAAGATCATTTGAGGGTGAATTGGGAATTAACAATGTTAGTAAAAAGAACATAGCTCTTTTGTGTAAGCGGCTTTGGCACTTCTTGTTGGAGAATGAGTGGCTATGGCATAAAGTTGTGACTAGCATTCATGGGCTATAAAAAATGGTTGGGATGTTGGTATTCTGCACATAGCTATGGCTGCACTATGGAAAGCTATACATAGTATCATTCATCAATTTCTTAATCATGTAAGGTACGATTTGGCCTTAGGTAATAAGATTAGGTTCCAGGAAGATATTTGGATTGGGGAGTCTCCTTTGGAAGATGTGTTTCCTCCTTTGTTTGTTCTCTCCAATCTAAAGGAAAGACTTGTGTCTATGTTCATTTAGTCTCATCCTTCCTTATTTGGGCTGAATTAGAATTTGGGTTTTACAAGGAATCTTAGAGTTTAAAATTTCTAACCTATTTTTTTTGGTAATAAAAATTTCTAACCTATTGTGCATCTTGGATAATTTAGTCTTTGATGACATTGTGAGAGATAGTCATGTGCGGTCCCTTAATACTACTGGGTTGTTTTCTTGCAAATGTATTTTCACTTCTCTTGTGGCTACCTCTTCTCCTTTCTTTCCTGTGAAAGAAGTATGGTGTGTCCCTATCCCCCCAAAAGTCAGTGCTTTTTGTTGGGAAGTTTTCCATGGTTGCATTAATACCTTTTTTTATGGGTTGCATTAATACTTGCGACTTGCTAGAAAGGAAAAGACCAAATTGGATTGTGTTCCCCAACAGGTGTTTTTTTGTGCAAGTTGAATGGTGAGATTGCCTTCCACCTCTTAAATCTCCTGTTCTTTTGTTTGCTGCATTTTGGAATGGTTCTTCTCTTTTTGGTTGTAGGTGGAACCCTCCTATCAATTTGGACAGGTTGTTTTACCTGTCTTTTTTGTGAAGCACAAAGAGAAAGGGCAGAATTATGTGGAGATGTACAAGGGCTGCAATGATATGGACAATTTGGGAAGAAAGGAATACAAGAATTTTGCGGAGAAAGAAACGTAAGGAGACAGTTATTAAGATCACAACTCTAGGAGATGAACAGTGGGTGAAGACACTGGAACTATTCTTAGACTTTTTAGTGAAGACTTCTTTAGGAACTAGGGGGCAATAGTTTGCTCTTCCTCTAGGAAACAAAAAGTACTTGAGAGGTATGGTCACTCCCAATTGGTGGTTGGATGAAACTAAACTTTGATGGAAGCAACTTTTGGGCAATCTTGGTCCCTCAGAATTTTTATTTTTTATTTTTTCTGGGGGGGTGATAAGGGATGAGGGTGATACTATTTGTTCTATGTTTTTGGGTCCAATAGAACTAGGTAATTCAGTAAGGGCAGAGCTTTTGGCAGCATTTTTTGGGGTACAGAAAGCCAAAGAAATGGGAATTGTTAGACTAATCATTGAAGGGGGGACTCAAAGAAGTAGTAGGGTAGCTGAATGAAGGTAAAAGGTGGCTTGACATTTTTGGAATGAACTTTGGTACTTTAAGTGGTTTTTTAAAGACATGATAATTCAAATTAGAAGGGTTAGGAGATCTGTTAATAGCCTGGCGGATGGATTGGCTAAACAAGCAGGTTACAAACAGTAAATGTATTGGGCACAATTTTAATAGGGTGGTGGGTGTGTGTTATGTAATGGGTCTTTTCAGATTTTCTCAACCTCTTGTTATAACTCTTTTATCTCAAATATTTAATGATTTGTTTTCTATGTTGCTGATCAAAAAACTGATTTAATTCCAAGTTCCAAATAGTTGATTAGCAGAAAGAAATTAAAAGAAATAATCAACTACTTATAATAAACAGTGATGACATTTATCCATTTGAGGGCTTAAGTCAAGATAACCTAAAATATAAGTTGGTGATCATAAAAAACTTGTCTTTCTTAGTTTTTGGTTCAAGGCATCACTTGTACAAGTGCTACTACTTGCTAGTCTGTCATTACCTCCCCTTCTCACACACTGTGACACACATGCAACATAACACATCAAACGATATGTATGCCATTACAAAACTATTGATACATGTCTTGGGGTGTCATGCTGGAGCACTGTCCAAGTTTTCCTGAAATGTACATACTACATAACCAGATACCAGGATGCAAGTAGTTTTCAGGTTGGGGCAGTGTCCAAGTATTCCTGAAATGTAAATAACCAAATATACCAGCATTTAAGTAGTTTTTTAAGTGATGCCATGTTAAGGGCCTGCGAATAGGATCTCGTCACAGGTCGGCCAACGGGGAAAACCCCTTGTTTTCCCTTGTTCCTCCCTTTTCTTGAGGAACCTATCTTGGCGCCTTAATGGTGATTTGTTAAAGAGATCACCAACTCTCCTCTGCTCTTTCTTGACTGAAAATTTCGACCCCTTTATTGAATATCATCAGCTCCTTTAAATAGGAGATTACAAGAAGATAAAGAGTCCTACTTTTAGGAAGACTCCCTACTAATCTATACTACTGAATTTAGCTAAGATAAGATAAGAACACTGAACAGATAAGACTCCCTACTGATCTAAGCTAAGATAGAAACAGATAAGATAGAACTGTATCTAGCTAGATAAGATAAGAACACTGAACAGATAAGACTCCCTACTGATCTAAGCTAAGATAGAAACAGATAAGATAGAACTGTATCTAGCTAGATAAGATAAGAACACTGAATCTAGCTAACAGATAAGATAGGATAGGGACACTGTATCTAGCTAACAGATAGGAACACTGAATCTAGATAAGATAAGATATGAACACTGAGTTAATCGCCCATTACTGCTGCTGTCCATTAAACTCTGAATTAATCGCCCATTGCTGCTGCTGTTTGCGGCTGTAAAAGCATCCACAACATGCCAAAAATAGTGAACATGACCTTCCTGAAAAAGTTTAGAGCATTGAGCTGTTCTCTCTTTTCTTTTTACATACAGATGGAGGTCCTGAAAATACCAATGAGGAGGCACCAGAAAACAATCCAGCCTATACAACTGTATATGTTGGCAACCTTGCTCATGAGGTAATCAAGCCAATTCCAAATCCATACTCTTTTTTTTTCCGTTGGCAAATTTCCATAGCTTTTATTTTAGTGACACTAAAAGTTTTGTTGGTTCTCTGTTTCTTGTTATTTTTTCTTGCGAGCATTCATGTGGTTCTCTTTTTCTTGTTATTCTATATAATTATTACATTCCTTTCCAGGTGACTCAAGCAGAACTTCATCGTCAGTTCCATGACCTTGGGGCTGGGGTTATTGAGGAGGTGCGCATCCAGAAGGACAAGGGGTTTGGTTTTGTAAGGTATCACACTCATGAAGAAGCAGCCTTGGCCATTCGAATGGCCAATGGAATGATAGTATGTGGAAAGTCCATGAAGGTAGCATATCTCCATTAGAGGGATCTCTCTATTCTAATCTCTTTCAGTTATTGTGTTCTGGCGGTGGCCCTCATTTTTATAAACCACTATATTTAGGAGGACATGATAGTAGACACGGAACCAGGGCTCTAAATAGTCACAGACACCACATGGTTGGATGAATCTTTTCATGTGGGGTTTGATCAAATATACTGAAGCTTGAAGCCAGTGCATGAAGTGATGGTCCTTTATCATCTTCAACCAAGCTACCGTATGTAGCTAGGAATATTTCTGTTGGGATTAATTTCATATATCAACACTTGAGCCAAGGCATATAATACGCACTGTAACTGTTCAGACTGACAGGAAATCTCTATTCTATCAGTTGAATAGGGTGTGCAACAGTAAACTGAGGAATTAGGATCTGTAACATGATCTAAAACCTGTTAGATGCCTGTTACTTGGTTGGTTGGTTGGTTGGGTTGGGGGGGGGGGGTTCCACCAAAACTTGATTTCAACCTTACTCCAGCTTAGTGAGGTCATTTGTATGGTTGAAACAATCTAGGTGTGATGGTTGCAGTTACCTATCAGTTTGTTTTTCTGTCCTTAGCCATCAAAGTTTTCTATATGGTAGCGTATCTAGAGATATCTCATAGTCACTGCGATTTGGTATTTAAATGAAGTTTCAATCTTTTGATGAAAGTGCCAAAACTTCTCTTCCATGGATCCGCTGTGGCAAGCTGACAACCGAAGAGTGACAGCTTGTATGAAGCTACCTTATAGGGCTGTACTACTAAACTTATTTATTTATTTATTATTTCATGGGGCTACACAACGGGCATTAGCCCATCCCCCATTCCCTTGACGCCCCAACCCTGGTGACAGTGGGATTTGATCCCCAGGTCTCTGCGACGAGTCAGAGATCCTACCGAGCCACCACCATCAGTTGGTGGGCTGTACTACTAAACTATAAGATATTGGTTGTGTACTTGTGTAGCATTTGTCTTGGTACTGATCTGTATAACAAATGCCTTTTGGAATTGTCTGTGTGCAGTGTTCATGGGGTAGCAAGCCAACTCCTCCAGGGACTGTTTCGAACCCATTGCCTCCTCCAGTTCCCCCTTTCCAGATCCTTCAAACTGGAATGAACCAGGGCTATTCGGCAGCAGAGTTGTTGGCCTACCAGCGCCAACTTGCCTTGAGCCAGGCTACTGGTTCTAGCTTAACAGGCCAGGCTCTTATGCAGATGACTGGACGACAAGGCCTTGCTGCAGCAGCAGCATCCATGGGTTTGAGCGCTGGTGGATCCCAGTCCTTGTATGATGGTTATGCAAACAATTCATCCAGTCAGCAACTCATGTACTATCATTGACATTCCGAGTTGTGTAGTCATCCTTGGTTTTGGATTTTTTTTTTTCTTTCTGATGGCATAGGTGGAGCTTAGATTTTCCGTTTTTATTTTTCTGCTTTTATTTTTCCCACTTTTCATATAGGGGAATATACCGGTGTACCCGATGATATGTTGCTTTAACTACACCTTTATTTTTCCTTTTCTTGTTTATTTGGTTCTTTGTAAGCTTTGAACTTCCTGTGCTTCTGAAATATATCTTAATTGTCATTACATTTTTGCCTATTGGTAGGGGAGTTTTTGATATAACCATGGTTCAAAGGTGCAGACGTGTTATTATGTGGTAAGTAAACTATGGGTGGTAGAAATAACAAAGTTGAGGTACCAAGTATAAACAATAAATCGAAGCTTTAGTGGCTTCAAATTTTGCATCTGATTTTGATTTTTATCCTTTATCGGACAGGGCCGTCGACTTCAATCGAAAGGCTTTAATTAATGCTTGGTGAATCGTGAATTGGTCACAATGGGTAGAGGATTTGATTTTTTTTTTTTCTGGGTAGATCTGAATTTGATTCCATATCTTCGATACAAACCAGCCAGAGACTACCAACAAATCAGTTGTGAAGGCATTTACAAAGATTTATACAAAAAATAATAATAATAAAGTTTCACCAATTGGAAAAATCCGTGCTGTTTTGAAAAAAAAAAGTTCAAATCGATGAGTGCAAAAAGTAAAGTTCACTTTTGGACAACCAGCTGAAGGTTTCGGAGCTAAGAAAGTAGCTTGGGATGGTGGCTGGATCGCAGGAGCTTAATATTTGGAGTCAAGTGTGAGCCTAAAACTCCAATTTTGGGATTTGAAGGCAGAGAAGGCCCAATTTGCATTGGAAAATTTATGATGCGGGAAAGATATGGTACGTAAGAGTTTTGACCAATCAAAATTCACCCATGAATTTTGATAACACCTGATTGGCTACCACGTTTATAATCCCAATTGATTGGTTAGAGAGAAATGAGGCAGTGGGGAAGATACGATTCCTAGGGAAGGTGCAATGATGCAAAATACAACTTTTATGTCAAAAAACCAAAAGCAATGAGACACCATGCATGAGAAAGGGAAGAAAAGATGAAATATCTGGAGGGTGTTTTAATGAGACACCATGCATTGATAATGGAGCGTACTTCAAAAACCTTCAATGAGGATTGATGGTCTAAATTTTTGGGTTGGACAAGAAAAGAAACTAAGAAGAGAAGGGCACTTTTGTCCAAAAATGAAGTTTACTTTTGGTGCTCACAGATTTCAACATTTTTGAAAACAACACCGATTTTGTCAATTATTGAAATATTATTATTATTATTGTTATTGTAAAAAGTCCTCTCTGTGAACTGAGAACTATTAATTCATTAAATATATGTGAATTTAGTAAATAATACATTAAATTGTCCAACGGGATCTTAAAATTTGATTCAATATAATCTTAAACCATTAATATAAGTTAATTTATATACTGATTAATTTTAGATTAATAGTGATTGGAGATAAAAACAACTTTGATATTAATAAAGACTTGCCCTATTTTTTTAGTAAATATATAGATTCAGTTAATATTAATAGTAAATTAATTAAATTAATCAATTATCTATTTAACTATTTTTATTAGGTAAAATACTTTATGTTTTACATTTCTTTTTAATCCTATCTATCATTCTATTGAATATTGTATACTCCCATGCATCACATGGGGCCCACTAGTAATTATAACTAATAATTTTAATTACCAAAATAATCAATTTGTATTTATTTATTTTTAATTGTTATAAATTATCCAAAAATATAAGAATATGCAAATTTTCAATCATTGTTGATGGTTGCATGGTATCCATAGCATATTTTAAAAAATGCTAAGGCCCATGGTCAAAAGCTCAATTTTAATAAATCTACAACTATGTTCTCCAAAAACATTCAAGGCTCAACAACTAATTTTGAGAATCCCAATCAAAGAAGAAAAAAGCAAATCTATTTGGGTGCACCATTAATAGAGACAAAGGTACTCAAACATTTGAGAGGATTGAGGAGAGAATTTTCAAAAAACTAAGTGGGTGGAAAACAAGTCTCTTTCTCTAGCTGGGAAGATTACTCTCCCCAAATCTAATATCTCTATGATACCTCAATTCCTAATTAGAACATTTAAATTCCCAAAGAAAATCCTTGAAAATATAGATAAAAAACGAAGATAATTCTTATGAGACTAAAATGATAGAAAACCTTTTCATCAATTGGGGTGGAAGAATGTACGTATGCATACAAAATGGAGGGTGGAGAGTTAAAAAAACTCCAATGGGTAAATGAAGGTATTCTGGCAAAGCTAACGTGGAAGATATTTACCCAACTGGATAACTTGTGAGTTCAAATAATTAAAAAACCTAAAAAAGAAATTATTTGGACCCGAATTGCTTGTTTTGTGGGGAGGAGGGAAGAAGTGATCATATATATATATATATATCTTGTCACACAGCTCAACACTGTTGGCTTCTGATGAAAAACTCAATCCCAAAACCAACCCTTGGAGAGTGAGTTAAAGATTGGTGGAAAATACTAAGACTAGTGAATAAATAAAATAGAGAGATATGCGTATTAGAAAATGTCAGGACCGAATGATTTTATGGGCTCTTTGGAAAAATAGAAACAACAAAGTATTTAGTAATAAAAGTTTCTCATCCCATCTTTTAGTTGACAAAACTAGATTATGTATGCCGGATGGAGTTCCATTAAGAGCTGCTGGTTGATTCTCAAGATTTGACAAAGCATCCAAAGTGTGTTCAAGTTTATTAGATGCCACCGAAGGCGGAAGAATTTAAGATAAACTTTCATGCATCCAAAAGATCTGATTGGAGCTTGGTGCTTTTTTCATTAGAAAAATTACCCCCAAAAAGTACTTTACCAAGTAGATTTTAATAACTTTTTAAAAGCGTTTATCAAGAAAGCGCTTTTATAAAAGCCCATTTAATAGGCGTTCTATGTGGGGCCCACTTTGCAATGCCAAAAGCTTATGCATTGCATAAAAGTAGGGGTGGACCGGTTTTGGATTGGATCCCACCCAAACTAAAATCAATTTGGATGGACCAACAAGATATATTGAATTGGAACAGTTCAGATTTAATGGTCCAAAATATTTATTGGATTGGATTGGACCTGGTCCATCACATTGGACTAAATCGGATTGGACCAAATCCAGTCCAATTGACACTCCTATACAAAAGTCATCCCAAACACGCACTAAAATTGGGGATTTGTGTTACACAACAGGTGATAGCTCATCCCCAAACCCATAAAACCCCAGCCCTGGTGTAGGCAAGGTTTGATCCCAACTCTCAACTACAAATAGCGGGAGAATTTACCAACCAGCCAATTGGCACATTGCAATGAATCTCCTAAAATTTCTCTCTTTAGAATCTGTCCTTCATAACATCCCTCTCCCTCTGTTATATGTGCATATATGGCTTTTTCTTCTCATCTTCCAAATATTTTCTTCTTTTTTTTGGTATTTATATCATTGTCTGACACTCCAGAGATTGTTACTATTTTAAGTGAACAGTACAACATCAGTTGCACAAGTGAGCTCAGGTGACACGGGTGTGCATTGTCTCTTACCGCCCTAGGTGATGGATTTTTTAAGAATTAAAAAATCATGAGTCTTAAGGTATTTTTCTAAGTTCCATAGCAATATTTTCCTAAATTCCAGAACAAGTAGCAATCATCATAGGTTAATTTCTCAAACATTCTTCATCTAATTATGTTATTATTTCTTTTCTAGAACCCACAATATTGGGGGTGCTCCCTAATATGATTGTTTTATTTTGAAAGACAAACATATACATGTTAGGAAGAACCCCACATGGTACCGAAAAGGTATGGTACCTAATAAAGTGAGAGGCTTTTTGATTGATTTTTTTTTTTTTAAGCCTGGTTTTTTGATTGATTAAGGTTTAACATAGTATCATAGAATTGCCTATTGTGAAATATCCCTTTTGTGAGAAAGAGAAAATTGTAAGAAAATTTCTGAGGGAATTTCATAAAATCTGTTGACAAATTTACTATGATCATGCACAACATAAGGAGTCCTGCATTTAGCCAATCTCTTGTGAATTTCCCTCAGAGTTTCTATAATAGCAGGTGGTATCGGAAGTTGGGCATTTACTATATGCTTAGATCTATAGTTTCAAAAGGGGCATGAACATTGCATTTCCCTAGTCATGTCATATAGCCGAGTGAAGAGGATCAACCAATTGGATAAAGTAGCAAAGACGATTGCAGGCTTTGCAGCTTCTGAAGCTATAGCTTGCTTATAAGCTTCCAGATCAATCACAGAACCCTTCTTTGCCATATATATCAGGTCGGCTATATGAATCTTGTTCTGCTATTTTGTTCTATTTTGTTCTATGCTATTAAGTGTGCATGTGATTTGCACATGATAATTTTAGATGATAATGATAGTAATACTGCACTTAATTTTTTTTATAAACTTTATGTTTTTTTTGTGTTTTTATTATTAATTAGAATCTACATCTGATTATATAAACACCTCATCCAAATACATAATAATTGGATTGAGTTGTGAAATTTCGAGTATCATTGCTAGGCATACTTGCTTGGCTATATTCTTCTATTTTGTAATATTTAATCCTTTTTGGTGTATATTTTTTTCTTCATTTATAAAAAATGTAATATTTAAATAGAGAGAATTGAATGGGGTGAAAAGTAGTAATTCAATTTACGATTTAAACCTCATAATTAAATATGGAATAGATTAAAAAATGAGTACTTTAGTCAAAAGAAAGTTCCAGGATTCATATTTTTAATAGTGGTGTAAATATAGAATTATTAGATGTGTTTAATTTTTTTCTATAATTTTTTTGTATTTTTGTGTGTAAAAATAATTCTAATATATCACAGTACATTTTATTTAATATGATAAATATATGATATTATACACATGCCTAAATGTTTTTTTTTTGCAAAACTTATGTATTTTTTATTTTATTAACTTTTATTATTTATTTATGACATTAAAGGTTAACATGTGTGACTCAAAATTTGAACTATTAATCTTTGCCAAACAATAAAATAATTTCATTTTTGGTCAGTTCTAATTTATGTATTTCATTTTCATTACCAATAAAAATAATTCTTGTTTATTACACTTAATTTTTTTTAATTTGATTAATAAAAATATCATAAATGTATCTAATTTTTTCTATATTTTTTTGTAAGTTTCTGTATTTATTATTTTTTAAAAAATTTTATTACCTAACTATGACTTCATAGGTTTATCAATTTGATTCGAATGGTTGAATTGTTTAGCCACCATTTGGATTAAAAATTGTTTTGTGTTTTAGTTAATTAAAAATATATGGGTTTATATTGTTCAAAATATTGACATAAATCTATTTTTATTAAGAAAAAATGAGAGTTAATAATTTATGTATAAGACTTAATGAGGTGGAAAGTAATAACGAAGTTATATTTTCAACCTTATCATTAGAGATGGACTAAATGCACAATTTTGGGCATTTTAGTAGCCATTAAAACTGACATTAAAGTTGTAACAAAATGGCTTTTATAGCCTTTCTCAAACAAAGAAGTAGAAAGTAATTTTAGTCCAAAAAAATTGCACATTGCATTCACACTTTTATATATAGTATAGATTTAATGCCATACCCATTATAATAGAGGTGTCAATTGGTTTGGATTTGGTCCAATCTGATCTAGTCCAATGTGAATCCATTGCAAATGGACCAGGTCCAATCCAATCCAATGAATATTTTGGACCAATTTAGATTGGTCCAATTCAATATTTGGACCATCTAACCTGTTCAATTTCGTTTTGATTTAGATTGGTTTCAACCCAAACCTGGTCCATTGACACTTGTACTCTTATCTGATATCAATGGACCAGATATTGGCTCGATACAATCCAATCCAATATAAATTCATTACGAATGGACAAGGTCCAATCCAATCCAATAAATGCTTTGGACCATTAAGTCTGGATTGGTCCATCCAAATTGATTTTGGTATGGACAGGGTCCAACCCAAAACTGGTCCATTGACACCCCTATGCTATTATATTAGGCAATATTCAGCTGATACCCATTCTGAGGACATGCATCTGATCAAAGGCATTTTCAATGTTAATTTTAGGGGTTTAGGTTTAAGATTTAGGGTTTAGATCGATGTAAAAATCAAAAGGTGGTGAGATGCTTTCATTCAACCACAGTAGAAGCGAAGTAAAGCCTATTTACACTATGAGACTTTGAATCGTTTCTCACTATTTTAACCATGTCTCTTTTGGTATACCACTCCTACGTCCCTTCAAATAAGTATATTTCTGCTCACATCTTTTCTATTTTTATCCACTCATCCATCTTAATTAATAACTGCATTGTTGGCCTTATATAAGTATTTTGTTAAATTTATCCTTTCGGCCTAAATGTCATTAATTTTCAATCACAACGGACTCTAGATGCATCTTTTCATTTTGCAGAAACTGCTACAATTTTATAAATAACATCCTCTGATCCTCAATTTCTCTCTTCTCATAGATCAATTCACCGATATCTAAACAACTAAAAAGAATTCACGACCTAGGATGGGAAAAACCTAATCAAAGACCAACCCAATCAAACCTACTTAGAAGAAACGAATCCCAGCCACTCGTGTCTGATTGCTTGGTTAATTGAAAAAAAAAGTCCAAACACTTCAGAGCTGAAGCTCAAAAACCATGAAAGCATCTTCACAAGGACGGTGCATCGTTTACCCAACCTTTGTTTTATCTTGGGCTTTTTAGTTTTTAACACAGAAAAGGGGAAACACGAGTAAAAGAAGCACAAGAATGAAGTCAGATTTACCTGAAAACCTCAATCACTTCACTTTGTCTTTACTCTTGACTGGTTTTTCCTTTTTTTTTTTTTTAATCCAGAATTCTAGCTATTGATTTGGTTCCAAATGTCTCCATCTTCCATTTGTCGGTATTGAAGAGAAATATATGGAAGATCTTTGAGTTGACAAAGCCCTTCTCAAATGGTTTAAACGTAGGTGGGGTTTGGGTAAACCATAATTTTCACATTTTGATCAAAGAACGGATTTTAATCTCGGGCAAACCGGAAATACTATTACAATGGTCGAACCAAAGAACGGTTCGTATATTCTTATAAATGGGTTCGCTCACCACTCCTCAGTCGTCAGTTTAATGCATGCAGCACCACACATGGCTGATGGCTCCCACCAGGATACGTTTCACGTGATTGGATTAAAATGGTTGGGTGAAGATTAGAGGGGTCCACGGCTTGTCAAATGTGAGGCTCTGAGGACCTGGACGATTGCATCAGAAAAATTCAGAGAAGCCTGGAATCTCCTCCCACACAGAACTCAAAGAAACAGAAAAACTGATGAGATTTCTTGTCTGAGCCTCTCAAAAATGTTCCTTATGAAGGGTTGAAAACAAAAAGAGATACTCCAAGTGGGTGGCTTTGGGTTAGACCAGTTCTGATTGAAAATTGGTGACTTAGAGAGAGTCTCCCATCCAGTCATCTCCATATATAGAAGAAACCCATTAGAGATCTCTTTTATTCATGTAAAATGCTCCTCCACCAACACAAATTGCAGATTCCATTCATTGGTTCATATTCCTACAACTGTGCCTGTGATTTCACATCCCACACATATATACTATAGCAAACTGATGAACAGTATCAAAGAACTAGAAAAGCATGAAGAGAAGCTGATACTAGTAAAAATAGAGGCCTTAATAATAATAGCAATAATATAGTTATGATCATATGTCTAGAACATCCAGCTCCTTAATTTTCTTTTCTCATTGTATGCCTTAATTCATATCCAAACTTTCTTCAATACTCTATCCTCTTCAAGATTTTGCATGCTGAGACAATCCTAGTAATGACCTCAGAAATTCTCTCAAAGCTCTCTTTATGTTACTTATGCCGGTGGCGGTGATACCAATTATTTGGCTACCTTCCTTCTTTGTTTGCTTTTTTATCTTCTACATTTTTATCCTTTATTGATTTTGGTATCTATGAGTAATTAAGCTATTGCAATCCCTGTTTTGAAGAGCACTGGAGTTGAGCAGGGAGAAACAGAGCAATCGAAGGTCGTTCGAGCTCCAGAGAGGCATTTCTCCCTATGTTCATCCCTTGTAATTTGGATCGATCTGCAATCCACGCTACAGAAGGCTTTGTCCCCTCTGCAAGACAAAGAACCATATAAGCAGAGAAGTCCAAACCAAGGAAAAGTTACCAGATTGAAATGGGCATGGACCCCAAATTATTGAAAAGAATGACAGGGAAGAAAACGAAAAGATTCTTCATAAGAATATGGCATCATAGAAAGTATTAACACATCCATAAGTAAACGAGAACCACATGAGTTTCTCCAGATAAAACTTATCTCCAAATAAAAAAAAAAAAGCAAATTTTGGGGCAAAGAAAACCCAAATGGAGCTCTACCCATCACAAGTTACTCACAGAAGTGTACCAATACTAAAGTTTAGAGGCCAAAAAGACAAACTCAAAGATGTAAAGGACTAGAAAAAGCAAATTCAAAGATGTAAAGAACTAGAAACTAAAATTGGGGGACCCGCTGTTCTGTACAAACTAGCAGTTAAAAATATCAAATGGACTAGTTCATGAAGAAAGGACGGAGGAGAGGACAACAGTAGAAACAAGAGAGAGGACATAAGGACCAAAGCTATTAATTATCGAAACTACTTCCAAAAATCATCCCTAATTACCAAGTTTGACAAAAACAAAACTGAGAAGCTCATTGTGTAGAGTTTAAGACACAAAAGAAGACAAAAACCATCATAAATGGCCCAGATTTGCAAGCATGTAATCAACCATACTTGGAAACTAGAAAAACCAATAAGTAAATAAATGACTAGATATTGTAGTACAACAATCTGCCATAACTAAGTAACAAAGGAATCCAATGCTCACTTGGAATGAAACTTAATGAGTGGCTAAAAATAGAGAGACATTCTATTTAAGAAAAATTTGTCAGACTGTACTCCACTTTCTACTGGGTACAGAAACACATGTCTGTAGTGAACAGTAATTAAGATTAAGGGGAGGATGTGACATAGTTTTGTTTGCCACATATTTATTACAACTCTAAGTTCCAAGAACTATGGATGGAAAATAAAAAGTAAAGTTCGAAATTCAAAATATATACAAGTACTTATCTTTTTTCTGAAAGAAAAAGAACAAATGATGGAAATCAACATCAACATGAAACCACTAACCACAGTTCAATGCAGATTAAATTTAATTCATGAACCCAAACAATTTACTGTTACATGATTTCCTATTGATAATAAATAATTATGACACAAAAAGTTAACATCAAAACAGATTCCATTCTTCATGGGATTTTATAAAATAGGGGTAGGGGGGTGGAGGACATTGTTCATGAAACTTAATTTCAATATGGCCAAAATTGAGCAGAAACTGGTTAATTCTAAAGATATATTGGCCAGTGGAGTTTATAATCCAGATCTGTGACCAAATCTCCACTTCAAGCACTTTAACCACTGTTTATTGACCAGTTATTGCTGTTGAAACATAGATAAATAAGAAATTCAATGGTGTAGAGTACAGATGCTCTACTGCGTCCTTTCCAAATGAATCCTCAGATGAAAACTGAGAAGAGTTAAGTCCAAGCACAGAGGAATATAAAAGAAGGATTTCTTATGGGAAACACCATAGGTCAAGTCTGTTTCCTAACTGGAGAATGCTCTGTATTGCTATAACAAAATTGCGAATCTGATTTCATGCCTACAAATTAAGAGAAAGTAATACCAGAATCTGGGTTTGGAGCCAGTGAAGATAAAAGTAAATTTTTTATATGATAGAAAGACCTACATCTTGGACATAGTTTAGTCAAAGACATAAAAGACTAGCACGTGTCGTCGACCCCCTCCCGTTCTAATGAACCATGATCTTTTACAGCTGCCAGTTATTAATCAATTACAAATAGAAATATTAGGAAAAAGGAGAAAATAAAGTTGTTGGAATCTTGAGAACTATCCTAACTAAAAGTGAGGTAATGAAAGCTAGGCTCATCAACATGTTATTTGATCCACATTTTCCGGAAAAATAATTAAAATTCAAATATGCAGTATTACTTCAAGGCTACAACTTAAGTAATTCAGCCAAATTTATTCAGCATCATTCATCACATGCATGATTGGAATACTAATCTGCCACCTTATCTGGCATTAACACAATTAACTTTGTCTTTATCCACACTTTATTTGATCCACATTTCTTGGAGATACAACCAAAATTAGAATTTGCAACAGGACTTCAAGTCTATAACCAAATAATGGAGCCATATTCATTAGTTGCATGCATGACTGAAATCTTTATTTCCTCCATATCTGATATTAATACAATTAGTTCATCAATGTTTTATTCCATCAACATCTTCCACACAGACACACAGTTGAAATTCAAATCTGCAACACAACTTCAAAGGTACACTCAATAATGCATCCAATTTGTTCAATGACATTTTATTGCAGAATCGGATCTTGACAGAGAACATATTAATATGGGAAAAAACTGTTTTCTTCCATATTAATGACTTCAAAGAAATTTTTCAAAACAAATCACTTCATGGATAAACAGAGTCCAAAATTTTCTGAATTTAGAAATCCAGATTCCATTATAAGCAATAGAATTAAGTAAAACAGCTTCTCCATGAAGACATCCGTACATGAAAACAAGAAAATAGGTACATTGATCAATCAATGACTAAAGTATTCATCTGCATAGTACCAATCAAGTATCAGGACAAGAGAATCTATACAATGAAGGGGCAATAAATTTATCATTGCTTCTAAATACATACTATGTTCCAATTGAAGAACTATGCCAAACATTCAGCTAAGGAACGCCATTGGAGAACATCAAAATCAATCTAGATTTTTCCAGTGAGAAACTACTTAGAAACCAGGCACTCCCAGAAGCCAAAACATTCAGACAATCATCCATTAAACTTTATCAAATTCCAAAACTTTCCATTACAGAACAGCACACAAGACTGAGAAATTGTATCCATCAGGGAAAAATATTACAACAAACCATCCAGTTTCAGAAACACAAGCATGCATAATATTAATAAGCAACTAATCGTTCAGAAACCAACACCAACCAAAGTAATTAACTAAAACTCGCAGAAATTTGTTAAAAGAGATCCTTTTCTTTTCTTTCAAATACCTGTACATGAAGATATCCAGCCCCTGAAGCTTCTTCTTGCAGCGGTAGCAAGAGCTGAGGAAGTCAGCAGTACGAAAAGCCGTCCCGGGCTCAACATAGTCCGGTGGGGAGGTGAAGAAAACAGCAGAATTCAGCCACTGAGTACCAGTAGTGTCATCAGGCTTATCAAAGTATTCATGTTTCTTGATCGAATTATTCCCAACACGGGAAATGACACACGTATAGCTCTCAGAGAGCTCCATCTCATGCTTGTTCTCGGAAATGGGTTCTTTATGCTTAGAGGTGGGCTTGGCATAAACGATGGGGATCGGCTCCGATCTTGGCGAGAGTGCCATCTTCACAGCTCTGCTGGTTTTAGCTGAGGAAAATGCATCATGGGTGTCATTCATTTCATTCATGGCGGCCACGATTCCCAGCCCCACGACGCCTTCCTCGAAGTTCTTCCGGAGAGATTTGGTGGGGGGCTTGCAGTCGATTATGGAATTCGGGGACTTCCAGCCAGAATCGGAGGAGGATAACTCAGAAAAGTTGATGAAGAGGGAGAGGTTGATCGAGGGCCTCTTCTTTCCCGAGGTTTCGACCATCATCATTTTCCCTGATTACTTTGGATAGGTTTCTCTGGTGGGTCTCCCTCAGTTTCTTGTTCTTGCTTAGCACTCAAAAGATATGAACGGGAGCTTTCTCCATTTTAACAGGAGTCTTCTGTGAGAGAACAGAGAGAGAGAGAGAGAGAAAGACTGAATGAAGCAGAAGAAAATTTTAAATTTACACCGCTTCTGCAAAAAAAAAAAAAAAAGAAAAGAAAAGAAAAGAAAAGGAAAGGAAATTAAATGAGACACTGCACAGAGAGTGATGCTTTAAATTTAGATTGCTGAATAAGCAACATATCGCATCACTAAATTTAGAACCGTTTCATCGAAGTTTCTCCAAATTCTAGCGAGGTTCATTCAGGAGAGAGAGAGAGAGAGAGAGAGAGAGGGGTGGCTTTGGGTGGAAGACCACCTTTTTTTTTCTCTCTTTCTAACGCGTTATTAGATTTGAAAGGAATATAAAGTTCTCTGACAAACAGAACTGTGTTCTAATTACAGTTCTTTCATCGAAACTATTTTTTTTATTGCTAAAAATCATAATTAATTAAAGAAGAGATCAGGAAACAAACAGGCTTTTTTCTAAGCGGGCCGCCCAGGGTTGTTGAAAGTTAAGGTTCTTCTACGATGTCTCTCTTGTTTCAGCCATACATAGCAACGATGTGGTCAATTCAGACATCCATCAAATTGGGGTCCTTCAAAATTGGACATGTGCTCACTTTTTCAGTCTACATCAGCTCTGTGTCCAACTGTTTATTAACCTTTTTTTTTTCTCTCTCTCTCGAGTCATATTAATAACATCTTCATTCTTTTTTATTTGAACAAGGGTTAGGACATGGCATTCTTCATTTTATCAAATGGGGCACACCCCTTAAGGTCCCAAAACCACTTTCTAAGAAGCCCAATTAAAGGAACCCAGATCTATGTACATCATATATATGCTACATACAATAAATATATACATTATTCTAGTTAATAAATACTTCTTTGTAATATGCCATTAAATATACACAATTATAACAAAATTCAGGCCCAAACCTATATAATTGGGTTTGGTTTGATTTGGTTCTGACACCTGTCCCCTGCCGAACTTTGTTTTGTTTTGTGACAAAAACCCCCTGAATTTTTGGATTTTATTACTTTGCCCCTTGTGTGATTCATGGGGTTGACGGAGAAGATGAAGTTATTAAATTGCCCATTTGAGATTTATGGAGTGAAAGCAAAAAACTATCAAAATAACAAAAAATGGGCATGTCAAAGTATGATATTTCTTCTGGATTGAAAGATTAAAGGAATGGGCAAGAGATAGGAATTTAGAAAAAGTTAAGTCAAAGCAAGGTTTTAAAAATTGTACCGAACAAGGAACCGTTTTAGGGGCAGTTCTTGGGTTGAATGTCCGATCGTTCGATTTGAATGAATAACCTATTCTGATTTAAAAAATAATTAAAATAAAAAATGACCAAAAGTCACTGTTTGAGTCAATAAATCACTGACCAAATCAACGATTTTTGACTTAGAAACAATTTTAGAGTAAAGCAGGATTGATTGCCTGACCAGTTCCCAGGCCAACCAGTCTGATTTTCAAAACCATGGTTCAAAGAGTAAATTAGTCTCATAAAATAAAAGAAGGATAACTTGGGATTTACATGAAAATGTTGACGAAAGGTTGATGGCAAGAACTGAAATCCAGAAATACAGGGATCTTTGTGGCAAAACAATGTTTGGGGGGGGNGGGGGCTAAGTATCATTACCCCAAAGTACGGGTAGCTACCTGTAAGTTAGCCTAATTTATTTCCATAGTGACTGTACTAGGTTCTTGTATGTATACAGTACAAGTGTTTTTTCAGGTAAACAGTACAATTTATTAAGAAAAGGAAGTTCATGGCATCATATTGTTTTGTCTCTTTCTGTATCTTATACACACACAGTATCATTACCCCCAGTCATTACAGTATTTTGTCCTTTTTTTCATCCTTGTGTATACATTTGGTATTTCTTTCGTGGAAGAATTATAATTGAAATTTGAATTCATACCATACACATACTTTAAGGTGACTTCTTGTATTCATTTGTTGGTTTTTGCTCCTCTTTACATGAAATTTCATCATGGTGTCATATAGAAAGTGTTTAGTTTAAGCCCCAGTTTGGAATGGGACCATGCAATAAGTGAAAAATAAGTATTTGTTTCTGTTTGACAAATAAGTATAGAATAAATGTTTATTTTGAAAATAAATACTTAGAATCAATCAGAATCAGGTGGTTGTTTTAAATGAGCACTTATTTCTTTTTTTTGGACAAAACTGTACTTAATCTTTTTTGTATTTTATAGGAGTTGCCCCACTTATAGAGTTGGGTGGCTTTTCATAAGATTAGGGAATTCTGCTGAGTCATATGGGACACCCCGCTTTTGATAAATAGGATACACCTGAGATTAAGGTTGTGTTTGGTACTATTGTTGATTTTTCTTTAAACATTTTGAATTAATCAAAACAAATTAGGGAGAGATATATTTTGTTTCATTACATATAAGAGAACAAACTAAAAAAAAAAATTAATTTGATGTTTTACAAACAGCCTCAAATAACAGTTTGTATGCCCATTATGAGATAACCCAAAATGTTTCAAGTAGAAAGGACAACTATATCAGGCGCAACCTAAGTAGTTAAGAAGTACTTTTTTTTTATATGCAAAAGAACGTCCATTTTTGTCTACTTTTGTTATTATGAATAAGGGTATTTTTGCCTTAATTTTCACAAAAGGGATTTGCCTTATGCAAATCAACCTAATTAAAATGTATAAAATGTAAATTAATCACCGACCATCTACTGATTATCAATGTTTTTGAACCGTCGTTGACCCGGATAGTCGGACCATTCGGCCCAAGAACTGTCCAAGTAATCAGTTCTGTTTTATCCCATACTCGACCCTTGGCCAAAAACCATTGAATTGATCAATGATCCATTAACCCGGGTGGTTGAACCGTTGACCCATTTGACAGTTTTTGGCCATTTATTTATTTTAACTATTTTTTTGTCAAAATGGGTTGTTCGTTCGAATTAGGGGTGTGAATGGATCTAATTCAAATCAGATCAGGCAATATCTGAATTTGAATCAGATCAGAAAATTTGACATCCGAATTCGATTCGATATCGGACGAATATTGAAAATTAATACTTGAATTGGAATTTGATTAAATATTTGAATATTCGACTTGATTTGAATTCAACCAAATAATAATTTTAGGTAATTAATAAATATATAAAACAAATATTTTATTTATATAAAGTATATAAATATATAAATTATTTATATTAATTTAATTATTTTATATCTAAATTATATAAAACATTTAAATATTTTTATATATTATATATAAAAATTAAATAATCAATTGATTTTGGATATTTATCGAATCGAATCGGGTCATATCTGAATCCAAACCCGATTAGCTATTCGATATGAATAAGATATCTGAATTCCACTTATTAGATATTCAAATTATCCGAATTCAATTCAATTATATCAAATCTCGAATTCGAAATCGGATTTTCGAATATCATTGACACCCATACATCCAATCCATAACGTTTGAATTACAAGTGGGAAAAAAGACTACGAAAATTTCTTTTAGTTCAATTTTTTGTTTTTCTTTTGGACCATTGAGCTACATCCAATCCATGGGTACCGGATTTATAAGTGGGGACAGGACTGAGAAGCTCCTATGGTTCAAATCGTTGAGCCACTAGTGTTTGATGTTGGTTCATTGTGACCCGGTTCAATCATGATCCAAAATATAGGTTGGAATTCCATTCCAACTACTTAGAAAATAGACTTAGGTCCGTTTGGTTCGTAGTTGAAATTGGAATCAGAATCGAAATCCTTTGGAATCAGAATCAAAATGGTCAATTCCCATAGTCTGTTTGGTTCAGACAGCAATGAAAATAGAAATGGGAGTTTGCAGGAATGGGATTTCATTCCTAAGGAAGGGACCTCAAATGGGGGAATGCCATTCCAACAGGAATTGAAATAAGATTTTAATTCCGCCCAACTAAAAGTTGGAATCGGAATTGCCCATTCCAATTCCAATTCTAAATCCCTATTCCTACTAATCAAACAGGAATCTAAATTACGAATAACATAGGTCTCCAAATAATATTGGTTATCTAAATTCATATTTAAACCCATAAATCCATTTATAACTGGATCAAATATGGATCTACCTACCCCCATCCAATACAATATAATAAATTCATTTTATTCATGATGTAAAATATCAGAACCTATTGTTAGTTCATTTTATTATTAACAATATATAATACTTTGATCAATTTTTTAGTTTATAAATGTTAGATAAATCAAATTTGGGTGTTAGATAAATCAATTTTTCAGTTTGCAGCCCTACCGTAGACATTGGCGCCACAGCTGTATATACAAGTTTAAGTAGTTTATTTCAATGAATTGATACCTATTACCTAGAATCCAATGATCAGCCAATTTACTTTTAGCATATATGTACAACAATGGTGTGTAGATACTGATTTAGGACCCACAGAATGCCATTCTCTTTTTCCTTACTTTGTAGAAGGGACCAATATAGACTTGAATTTATGAACTTTTGTACCTACATTACCCACTCACTTTCATCAAACAGTTTCAATCTTCTTTCATTCTTCAATGGAAATATTCACTTTTGCCTCAAATGGTTAAAGGGCATAAATGCAAGCTGGCTAACAATGGTTTGGGTTTGATTCTGAATGCCAATCGAATTGAACCAAAGCAGATCTCACCCAAGTCAGGGCCCAAGATTAAGCCCAAAATTCAACAAATGCTCAGCACAAACCTGACCCACTTACTAGTTAAATTCACCAAACATACCATCCCCAAAATTCTCTAGTTTACCTAATTTTCCTCACTAGTTTTTTAATAGTTATCCTTATAAGAAGGAGAGGGGGAGTCATGTCTCATTGAATACACATTGGAAAAGGGTGGGAGGAGTAACAAAAGCTTTGGAAAGAATTCAAAATCCACAAGATTAGTGCTCCAAAAACAAAGATGGGGATTTGTTGATAAACCCACTACTGATGCAATCTCAATAAATCTAGTATTTTATTCACTTGCAAGGGCCCATCAACCATTTTTTAGTGAACCACCAAATGCTTTTTCACAATTCTAAAGTAATCGAGTTGTTTATTCAAATGATGTGACCCATACGCAAAAAGCTTTCCCACACTATTCTTGTGGGGCTTTTGAGGGTAGAAAACAGAGCCCAACGCCAAAAAAATCACTTTCGCTTTTTCATCAACCAATCATTAACTCTGTTTTGTTTTCATTAAAATAAAACTGAGGGCGGTAATTTGGGCACACCCCTTCTTTAGAAAAGCCCTCCCCACAGACATATATTACGTCCTCTAGGGGTTGT